ACAGTCCAGGTTTAGGGATTACCCAGTTGTGTCTAAGGTGGGTTTTAGAACAAAACAAACAAAAAACACTTTAGACACACTGGGGTACTTGAGGACAGGGCTGGGAACTCATGGTATAGGTCAAACAAATGCATTCTCAATTCTCTGTCAGTAAAATCACTTCTGTTTCTATTTAGGGTGCCCTAGCTACAACTCCCCTAGCTGTGACTCATACAGCCTCCGTAAAAAAATTGTTTAATTTTCAATCAGATTTGAGAGAACAGTGTTCCCCTGCTCTGTTAATTAAACTGTAATCACACAAAGAAGACTGCTGCTGGCTCTAACAGTCTGTTAACAGGAAATAAGAAAGTCTAAATTAAACAGACTGTGCAATAAAGGAGGTTCATACATTGAATGTTTTGTTACAAGAAATGTGTAGGTGGGCTGTGTTGGACACCGGCATGCTGACTATTGTGTCTTCTTTTTTTTTTGTATGTAAATCAATAAATTCTACTTGAGGTTACAACTTTTTCAGGTAGAATCATAAAACAAGGGCACAAATAAATATATATTTTGTTTGTGTGTTTATTACAAAATCGTATGCCACAGGGCTATATTACTTGTAAGCTATGTTCTGTGGTACAAAAAAAATACGTTTTCCTTTAAAGTTTACAAGATATTTCACTTTTAGTGAGAGGTCCATATTTTTTTTTTTTTTTTGTCTGTGTATACCCTGGCTTAGTCTTCCTCTATTGGAGTTATACATTTTATTATTAATTCTTTATTTTTGTTATGCAGGTGAGTACAAGGCGCATACATATGCCACAACAGCGTATATTTATGGTTAAACATAGGTTAAACTGTGGCATGGAAAAATTAGCACATTTTTGTTTTAAATAACATATTAGGCTAGGCAGATATGTCTAAGTGATAACAATCTGTATGAGATCGAAAATGCGTGCAGCATCCTAACTGCTTTGGTACTTAGAGATTGTACTTAAGAATAAAACAGTAACATGGTATAAACAGTTGCACCAGTCTGCGATTCTGTGCCATGATGACTAAAGTATTTGGATAATCAGGCATTAACTATAGCAATATCAAGCTATTTAATAAACTGCCTTAAAATCATTACAAAATAATACTGACATCATTATTAAACCAGCTGACAAGGGGGGTAACATCATAATTATGGATGTGAATAAATATCTTGAAATGGCAGAACGTTTGTTAAGGGATACTGAGACATACAGAGTGCTTAAACGTGATCCCACAAATGAATTTCTGTGTAAATATAAGGAGATCTTAGACGAGGGCTGTTGAGTGACGAGTATGAATTTATTCTTAACCGTCACCCTAAGATGGTAACCTTCTACTGCCTGCCTAAGGTTCACAAGAACCTGGAGGAACCTCCGGGACGCCCAATTGTCTCAGGCGTTGATAACTTGACACAAAATGGCAGTTTGTATATAGATAAAGTATTGAGGCCTTTTGTGGAAATGCTACCCTCCTATATTAGGGACACGAAGCAAGCTCTTAGGCGACTATCGAGTCTTAAATTTCCTCCCACTGTTCAACTATGCAGTTTAGATGTAGAATCACTATACTCCTCCATCCCTCATGATAAGGGAATAAAACATGTGTAATTCTTTCTTGATCAAAGAAGTTGCAGGGATGACTCACATACAACTTTCGTTTTACACCTTCTTATGTTCATTTTGTCGCACAATTATTTTTTGTTCAATGGTAAAGTGTACCACCAGGTAAGGGGTATCGCTATGGGGACACCTTGTGCCCCCTCATATGCGAACCTTCACCTGGGTTGGTGGGAATACCATATTCGTACTTTGGATATTCTGGCAGATTACCTACCAATGATTTTGTGGTGGGGTTTTAGTGACATTACTTAATCAAAATGATGAAAACCTCTGCTTTACATCAGAATTTGGAGGACGTTCCATCAATTTTTTAGATGTAACGATTACCATCAAAGACGATGGTACATTTCAATCCACCTTATTTAGGAAACAAACAGATACCAATTCCCTCCTACATTGGAGGAGTTACCATCCACGACCCCTTAAGGAGGGTATTCCGGTTGGTCAATACCTTCGCCTCCGGAGGAATTGTAGCGACATTGAAGATTTTAAGATAAAAGCAAAGCAACTGAGGTTACATTTTAAAGAGAAAGGTTATCCTAATTGTTGTCTTAAGAAAGCGTATAAAAGAGCACTTCAAATCGAAAGGCAGGAACTATTATGTGAGCATCCAGCAAAGAAAGAGAGTGGGGAGATAGGAACCATCCGAATGATTGCGACATTTGACGCAGGTTGCTCAGAAGTACGGAAGTCCCTCGATAGATTTTGGCCTATCCTTTTAAATGATGTACATCTTAAGGGTGTTTTAGGTCCACGAGTTAATATCACAGCCAGACGTGAACGTAATATTTGAGATATGTTGGTACCAAGCCACTTTACTACGAAATCATATGTACGTCCCACTTGGTTTGGTACTCTTCCTTGTGGTACATATGGGTGTGGTAGGTGCGTAGCGTCTAAGTACATCTCTAAGGGCTCTAAGATAGTGAGTGATACCACAGGACAAGGTTAAGATTAATAGTTTCTTTAACTGTAATACAAAAGGCCTTGTCTATTTGTTGACATGTTCATGTGGACAAAAATACGTTGGTAAAACTTTTAGAGCTTTTAGGGATAGAATTAGGGAGCATGTAAGGTCCCCCAGGAATCGCCTCGAGACACCTATCTCTAGACATTTGAAAGAATACCATCATGGTGATTCCAATAATCTTCGATTCTGTGGACTAGAATTAGTTAAGAGAAATCCAAGACGTGGAGACTTTGATAAGATCTTGAGACAGAAGGAGTCTAGGTGGATATATGAATTGAAGGCACTCCAACCTTTAGGTTTGAACGAAGGCTTTTCATTTGCACCGTTCATTTAATTATCGATAATAGATGGTACTGGATCCCTTCTTATTTTGATCATATATAGTATTTATTTATTTATTTATTTTACCTGCCAACCATAACTATTATAACAATATTTTTTGTACCGCTTGTATATATTGTTTTGGCTTATTTTTTTGATTGAATTAAAAGATTTTTTGTTTTTGGTTTGACTATTTGAGTTTTTGTCCCCTACCTCCCTGCTCTTCATCCCCTCCTCTACTTGCATTGATTAGGGACCGCCTGTTATTTGGTTCTTTATAATTTACGTTACTAGGCATATTAAATCGTGATTAAAATTTTAGTAGATTACTGCCCACCTGTGGCTTGTATTTAGTATGCCAAGTCTTGATTTCCCTTGTTTAAGTGGACTTTACACTCGGTTTAGGTTTTTGCTACTCTATGCTCACTTCATGGAGTTGAACTAATGGGGTTCTAAATAAACTCTTTTTTGATACACCTCTACTTTACTTATGTTCTTGTAGTTCAGACTGAAATGAGCAATTGGAGAGAACCTGTATATATTGTCGGTTTTGAATAAGCATAATACTTTATACATTTAGTTGTACTCGTAGTACAGGATGGTTCCAGCGCTTATACTCTGAGTATGCAGCTTTATTCTGCCTCAGACTAGCACAACACACTTTTCCCATCCTGCACCGCCGGCATGTATACTTTTTCTAAGTCCTCGCGCATGCGCGGACTTTGCGGTTTGGACCCTTGCGGCTACCGTAGCACTCCCAACTTGAATGGGAGAGCGATAGACATTTCTCATTGGTGGACTGCCCATAACCACGCCTCATGATTTAGTAGGAGGAGGAGAGATGACCCTTATAACAGGTGAATGTGAGCGGGGGATTTTTTGTCGCATTCCATGCCCTTGAGAAAGGCGGTTTGTCCGCCGAAACGCGCGTTGGGCTATCTTGATGTTATTATACTCACCTTTTAGCATCACAATTATTAGTATTTTGGTTTTGTTTTACTCTTAGTGCTGTGCCCAGATACTATACTGATCGGCCGGTCTTTTACAATAGTTGTGACACCAAATATAGATTGGGGTATTTACAGTGGAGGTGCCCCTTTTTTGTCTTGCTGTGGACTCCACTGTGGACTCCTCTTCTTTCCCCCTTTATTTTTCACTACACTCTCTTTTCTGTCCTTTCAATTTCTTATCTTTATGACAAGATCTTAGGGCATTTTTGGAATTTTCAATTTTTGATTATACAGAGATTACCTCTGACTTGATAAGGGGGGATTTATGTGCCATTTTCTATTGATATTTGTACTAGGACACAGCACTTGGGGGGTTTCTTGTTAATCATTATAAATAAAATCCAGACAGGGATGACAAAGTGGAATGTAAGTGGTTAACCTGGAAGTACTCTTGAACTGGGGACTAGTAAAGAGCATGTTAAGCTTACATTCAGCTACCATAGTTAGAGCATGTAGCATAGTGCTTGACTTGGTTGTCAGCCTATCCCCATCATAGGGAATTTACTGTCCCATAGAGCATGGGCTTGCAAACCCACAGCCGGAGGTGGCAGCTGCTGATCTTGCTTGTGCAGGTGCCTTTCTCCCTTCTCCTCGGCTCTCCGCTTGTCTTTCGTGTGTTCCAAGGGGCTTTATGGCGAGTGCTGTTGGGCTGCTTGGTGTGTGACAGGTAGGTCGCATAGGAGTTATCACGGTCTCGTGTAGTGGCTGCTTGGCCCTTAGCTTCTCCCAAAATGCTTCGATGAGGGCATCCAGGCGCTGGAGAGTAGTGGACACCACTCCTCCTTGGGTGAGGGCCCGCCATCTTAGGGAGACCTTTGGCGGTAATGTCGGCTTCTGAGGTACTGCCGTGGCTCCTTGGTGGGTCACGAGAGCCTGCCGGATGGGGACCAAGATAACCCCCACTGGTCCAGAGGGGGGGGCAGCGGGGTATCAGTAGCTCGCTTGGTGCTCCGCCAGCGCCAGTCCGAGAGAGCGGCCGCCTCTCCCCCCCCCCAGGGCGCCAACTAGGCCCCATTGCATCTTGGCTACCAGATCGCTTGAGAGGGCCGCAGGGTGTGTTCCGACTCTTGCTTGCGTGACCCCTAATCAAGGGGTTCTCAGGGGTTGGTGGGGGGGAGTGAAGGGGGTGTAACACACCTCTCTAAGTGAGCAGGGCCTTTACCAGCCAGGAGGCTGCTTTGGTAAACATGAACTTGGTAAACTTCACAAGCTGAAAAGCACTGCCTAAAAAACTGTTGACAAACATAACTAGAATTAAGCAATCCAGTGGGGCTTTCAGCCACAGTGTCCTTGGTCTTAGTCAGGTCTCTAGTCGAGGAGTCAGTCGCCAGCGAGTTGTAAAGGGGACTACGGTGGTCGGGTTCCAGGTGTGGGTGCGTAGTTGGTGTACAGAGTACTTTGCAGGTATTGCCAGACCCAGAGTGCCGAGCAGTTTGAATGCTTCCTATTCAGTAGATATTTTATATATAGTCCCGTTGTGATTTACCAGAAGGAATCACGGTGATGTCCACCTGTATATCACTCCAGGCGTTGTTAATATTGTTGTCGCTGGACTTAGTGATTTCCGCCAGAGAAAAGTAGGTCGTGAGACATCTTAGAAAAACGTGAGATCAGCATCTTCAAAGGAGTAGGGTGTCTTGTTTTGCAGTGTTGTTATTAGTGATCTTTTGTCGCTTGCTTTCCTTTTGTGAATATACCTCCTTTTATTTTGCTTTTATAACAACAAAACAGAGAGCACTATTTTTCTGTTTTTATTCTCATTTTATGTACTTGGTGAATATCTGTGACACTGCAATTTGGAGGGAAATACCCATGAACGCTTGACACTCTGACACTTGATCGTGACCTACCATCTACAAGGAACCAAGTTGAGCGACACATCCACAGGCGGGGATCCGCCTAGGCGCATATATCTGGAGCTGAACATAAGCTCCAGAAAATTGTAAGTGGCATTTTTCTTATTTTTCCTCATCACATATAGAATATACTACACTATATTCTGTTTTATTGTCCTCATATTTTCCATAACTACCACCATTCGAGGTTGGGCCGTCCATCCAGCTACCATCCTTGATTCCAAATCCGTTAGTAAGTCTTTCTACCAAACGCCCGGTCGTTCGGTAGTTTGGAAGGGGGTTTACCGAAGGTCTGGAGGCTTCAGCGGTGTTCGCCTATTTGAGTGTCCATTTTCAGTTCCAGACACTCGACGGCAAACACCGCTGTTCGGGAGCTAAAATGGCCGCGAACACGTGGAAGTCCCGAAATGGCGGCAAGACATGCCGTTCGTGCAAAACTTCTGTCGAACGGAATCCAGCCAGCAAAGAGGTACAGTCTGTATAATGGGCAACAGGGTGGTCTGGATTCGGTAGTTTTACCTACTGAATGCCATAGGGAACATTACTATTAAACAAAAGAATACAAAGTGTCAATTTACAGCATAAGAGGGGCATTTCTTCACACTGCCAGATAGAAGAGACTCTGGTTTGGGAAGTACCAGCTGCCATACCCGGATCTAACAAGCGCTAGGAACCTCACCATCGCCCGTGCTTGAGAGGGAGCATCTGATAATAACATCACTCATGGCTGTAGGTGGTGCTCCAGGCGACTTTGGGAGACAAAAGATTCCATCAATGGAAATATGCTTGGCTTGGGGGCAAGAGAGTTGTTACTAGGCACCTGATATAGTGTGGGAGTTCTTCCATTGGTATTGCATCTGGCACTTCCCGTATCTTTAGGTTGTTACGCCTGGTGCGATCATCTAGCGTAGCTAGTTGTGTGGCAAATGCACGGTGGGTATTTTGAACAGAGTGTAGTGAGTCTCTCAATACAGATATGTCTTGCCTTATGTCTGTGATGTCTTCCTCTGTGGCACGGACTCTTCCTCTGTAGCCCTAACCAACTCCACATCAGCGGCCAAAAGCTTCTTTATGTCGTTAAGTAGATCCATGATGTCCTGCTTGGTGGCCAGGGTTGACACGTCTGGATAGCCTGGAGCAGGTAATGCCGATGTCTGTGGAGAAGGCTGCAGTGTGGGGTCGCCATGCTTGTGAGGTAGAGGTTCAGCAAGGGCTTCACTCTCCCCTGGGGCTGCCATCTTCGATTGGGCCTGCCGCTGAAGCAGGCTCCCAATATCCATTGAGTCTTGTGGCGTGCCCGGCTGTGGTTTCTGGGATCTCCTCCCCATGTTTGTGTGCTGGTCTGCTACGTCAGGACCGGTTGCTGGTTCTTGCTCTAGTGCACTGAGAACCCGGAAAGCTGAACGAATGGCATGTTGCCGTGTGCTGTCAGGAGGTGAGTGCTAGAGGGTATGCTGCTTGATGAGCAGGTGTTCACCTGATTTTAGGCAGATTTGACAGCGCGTCTCCAGAACTGGAGAAAATGGCGTCTGCTCACTTCTGTGTGGTTAAGCCCATACTTTTGATGTGATTTAAATGTATATATATAATTGAATCTTTGTAGTGCTCAATTGTTATATACGGTGAAAAATTGTTAGCTTAAGGCTTGACAAATTTGTTTTGAAAGCTTTGTTTTCAACAACAAATACAATTCTTAAAGGGACTCTATAGTCACCATAAACTCAACAGCTTAATGTAGTGGTTTTGGTTTCTAAGGCTGTCCCTGTAGGCTATTCAAAGTAAACACTGTATTTTCAAGAAAACATTGCTGCCTAGTAACACCTCTAGTGACTCTGCTTCCTAGTCTAGTGCTGCCTGCATTCAGCGTCTTCGTCTGGGATGTTACTCATAGAGATGCATTGATTCAGTTCCTACTAATAACTGAATATCTCAGCCATCAAGACTAGGCCAGCCATTGCAAGGCCGGTATGGCGTGGGAGGTGAGTAAAAACACCTTTCTCATGCGATCAGAGGTGGGCCAGTCACACTCACTGACAGACAGATACACACACTGACACTAGAGTTGCTCCCTGTAGTTTCACGTTGTTTGGCTATGTGAAATGATGCTGGATGTCCTCACGCTTTGTATGAGGTTGTCCAGCGTCTTTTAAATCCCTATAGGAAAGCATTGAGTCAATACTTTCCTATGTGGAAGACTTAATGGGTGCGTGGCGCTCGCCGCAACTACGCATTAGGTTTCCCTCGTTGGCTGACATCGGCGGAGGAGGAGCGCAACCCAGCACCGAGGGAAATCTGTGCTGGAATCAAGTAAGTAAAATGCTATTTTCCTTCTTCAATAAATAGTTAAGATCCTGATAAACTGTGACACCTACTGTTTTTTATCGATGGATTAAAAAAGATTTTAAATTCGAGTTTGTGGATGGAGGTGGTGATTCCTTACTTATTGAATCCAACGCTAACAAGGGGATGATCCTACCATGGCTTGAAAGGTGCGAGTGGAACTATAAATGCTGTTATCTTGTGAGTGCAAGTCCATTCTGATGTTTTATCATTCATGTATATGTTTTACAGTTGCACTAGGTCTGTTTTTTCTTTTTCATTCATAGCAGGTTACATGCTAAATATTTTTGCACTACTTATTTCCCGTTTTAAAATTCCTCAAAATTGATTATAGTGGGTGTTACTGCACTTTTTTAAATGTATAATCTTTCTTGAAGAGTATTTTTTTTTTTTTTTCAAGAAGCGTACAGACACAAAGGTTACATGACACCACATTAATAATGTAACAGTACATGGAGATATATCAGTGCTATACATATCAGCACATTCGTGGGCAACCAAATAATTATAATGTAACATGAAATAGTACTATAATATTTCTGCACTGTTTCTGCAATACATATGTGTTGCAGAAACACATATGTATATGTTCTCACTAGTGAACAAAACTACATCCTATACCATCTGAGAGGAGAGAAAGGCAAAGATAAAGATAAAGTTTAGAAAAATAAATGTGAAGGAAGTACAGGGGGATGGGAAAAGGTTTGCACCCAGCGGACTTCCTGGGCGATGGAAAAGGCTCCTATCTCAGGTGCTGTAATGCTCTTCTCATGTATTCCAGATTTTGTGAAATTTCTTCATGGATCATTGGGTATGCACGGTGCACCAACTCCTCATAAATATTTTGTGATGTTATTTTTGGTCACCATAAGGACATGGAATACTATTACTTGTTCCGTCTTCGGCAGTGTATCCAGCAACATGTCCAGGAGGTAGTCATGGGGCTGGAGAATATTTTTAACTCCTTTTACTAAATTCTTGCCTGGTTGGGGAAAATTTTCCTTATTGATTAGTGATGTCCAAGAGTCAAGTGAAGTGAATACCCGGGTTGATATTTCTGCTCAATTAACTTCTATGTCTATCAACAACATCTATGTTGTTTGTGAACTTGTGTCTATTGCTGATGTTAACTGGTGGGTTGGTAAACTTTCACTATGAGCCACTAAACTTTTTGTGTCCACAAGTTGTCAGCTCTCTCCCCTGCTGCCCACCTCCTTGGCACTAATGGTATCAAATAGGCACATGGGCAGTTCCAAGAGAAACAAGGTAAAAAAATATAACCATATTGCATTTGACTGCGACATAATCAAACAATTGAAATAACAGGTCCAGGTTTAAAAGATGGCACGGAAGTAGAGAGAGATGGAGAAAGAGTGCGTCCGTATTTATGCATATATACATATATATTATTTTTATTTTTTTGCGAATCAAATTTCCCAGCCCAAATCCTCAAAAAAAATAATAAAAAGGCTACAGAGAATTGCAAACCGAATAGCCAAAAATAGGCTAAAATACCCAAACTGTGGCAATAAATGCGTAGGATATATTTTACAAATCAGTTAAAAAAAAAAAAGAAATTCGGTTCAATGCAATTTACAATTTAGTGAATAAAACCTTTATGGTTGCCATGGTTTCAGTCGCCGAAACGTTCCATTCCATCCTTTCAACTGGGCTAACGTAAGGAGGAGCCTGCAATGAGAACGAGGCGTGGAACGCAGTGGGGGTGGACCCTGTGAACTGGTTGCTGAGCTGGAAGCTGTTAGATGATTGGAGTGCGGTTGCTTGGAAGCGGGCGGTATGCGTTATAGCGTACAAGCATAGAACACACCGGATTTTATGGAGGGATAAAGAAGATACATTGTAGTAACTGGTAATTCAGGGTTCAACAAACATTTGTTTGTGTCATCAGTTCCTAGCATGCTGCTATGGCTGTGAATCTATAGATCCTATATCTATACAATAATTATGTGCTTTATGTATACTTCTAACACCTAAAACCTTGCAATTGTTTGGACGCATATTGCATTACTTTACAAACACAGATTCTTTTTTGAATTGGTTCTGTCCTTGTACATTGTGAATTTATTTTATTATCGGCTAGTCGGCTGATAACGGTAGTTGGATGTTAATGTAACCTTCTGGCTGTTATTGTAATATCTATTTTGACATTAACCAATATTTAATTTCCTTCGTGTGCAGTTGATCCCCATCCTACTCCATTTGTTATGATTGGTTTACATGTATAGTGGCTTTGGGTGTAGTTTTATATTGAGCTAAATATATTACTTAGCTTAATGTCTACTAATCTTTTGCCAAGTTTAATCCCTTCTGAATGCACTTATATGTTGCAGAATTAACCCCCTTAAATGGGAAATGCCCTGAGTTGGAATGGAGGGTTGGAAACAGATATTGTTATGGACCAAACTGATTAAATAAATAAAAAATTAGCCCAGGATAACCAGGTGTCTATTAAAGAGTTAGTCCAACCACTTTAAGAAGTGGTGATAGTGGTAGGAGTCTAGATATAATATTATTTATATAGCGCCAGCAAATTCTGTAGCACTGTACAATGGGTGGACAAACAGACACATAATTGTAACCAGACAAATGGACGCACAGGAACAGAGAGGTCGAAGGCCCTTCTCAATGAGCTTACATGCTACAAGGAATGGGGTATAGTCACACAAAGGGTATAAGTTGGGGAAATGAAATTGGTTGCTAGAAAAGTAATCACCGAGAACTTAGTAGGTTATTTTTGACAGTTGCAGGAGAGGAGTCACGCGGGAGGTACTCCCTTCCAGGTCCTCCCTTTCCTGCAGCCCTGGGTCTTCCCACCCTCTCTCTAATGAAGGGCCTTTGGGCTGGTAAGGGTGAGCTTTTATCTCCCCACCAGCCCAAGAGGGCCCAAAGCAAGGAAACGAGGACCTACCCTGTCAGCATGGGCATTGCGGTGGGGCCCCAATGCTTGTTGGGCCCCTGGTCAAGTGCCCAGTGTGCCCATGCAGAATGACGGTCCTGCAGTGCACATGACTTAGGCTGCCAAGAACTCTGTTTTCTGAATCAGTTCTCTATGAGAAAACTTTTTCTTCTTCTTAAGAACAACATATTTGTAGAAATCCTGTAAAAGTATACGTTGCCATGTAGCGTACGAATAGCACATTATGCTGTAGATTATACTTTATTACATATATACAAAGTAATGAGCTATGAGGCGTCCGTTACATATGCATCCGAGTGGAATTAGTGTGTAGCCAGGAAGTTGACCTAAAAAGTAATGCTGAGTTAAAGGGACACTAGTCTCATAAACAACTTTCGCTTAATGAAGCAGTTTTGGTGTATAGATCATGCATCTGAAGTTTCACTGCTCAATTCTCTGCCATTTATGATTTAAATCACTTTTGTTTATCTTTTCTATGCACATCTCCCTGCATGTGACTTACCCAGCCTTCCTGTAAAGTGTCATCTAATGTTTACACTTCCATTATTGTAAATTATGTTTAATATAGAATTTCTTATCTTTGGTCTGTTAATAGCTTGCTAGACTTGCATGGGCCTCCTGTGTAATTAAAGTTTAATTTACAAAGCAGGGGGGAAAAACTTTTAAAGTAAGTTACATCTGATTGAAAAAGAAAAAAAATTTTTCATGCAGGCTGTGTCAGTCACAGCTAGGGCTGTATAAACAGAAACATATGTGGTTTCGCAGGGAATTGAACAGTCAAACTCACAAAAATTGCTTCATTAAGCTAAAGTTGTTTTGGTGACTATAGTTTCCCTCTAAGGCACTGTTCCTGTCTACTGAATTTCCAGTCGGGCTGTGCACGCTTCATGGGTAACCTGTTTGATTTCTTTTGAAGTCCCGAAAGACGGGCCTGTGATTGGTCAGCCCATATTTAAGCAGAAATCTTCATACAAATGTGGCAAACAAAAATAAAAAAGGGGCAATTACAAAAAACTTCAGCTGTTACGCTTCTTAATAGGGCTGAATGTTGAAAACCATTAGTAGGTCGAAGTTGTCATTGTGGTTTATCTAACCTAGGGCATCATTGTGCTCTAGGTAGTTGTAACCTTTTAATTTAAAATGTTTTGAAAAACAGCAATTTTTACATTAAATAGTTAGGCATGCCTCTAGTGAATTACATTTTAAATTGCATAAATTATTAGTAAGTCACCTAAAATTTCTTAGAACATGCTTGCCCTTGCCACATCCTTACTTACACCCCTAAAATTAAACTGTCCTTTGTCTTTTTGAATTGTTGGTTGATATGATTGGGTACCAGTTCCAAACCTGGTATTCCATATACCATTCTTGATGTAGCGACATCTTAGTTTGTGCATAACTAGATCCCACTTTTTGCAAACTTGTTCCTTTTCACCAAACTTTGTCATTGCTTTCATGTATACCTATTTCACAGCTGCTGTTTTATTAGGATGTTGGTAATTTATGGGGGAAAAAAAATCAACAGGAAGATGTAGTGCCAGATGTGACTGGACTGGTAAATATGTTCATTCTAGGGCCAAGACTATGTTGTACCTGCAGCTCATTCTTCTGCTTCTGTAACTCTGATGCTGGGCTGAGGTAAGGACATAGGTGGCATGAAGGGGAGGACTGTGTTGACATTGGCTGTTTAGCTCTAGCATGCTGGCGTTGGATGCCAAATTTCCACATTACTCACATCAGCTGCTGGGAACATTTGACCCTGGCTGATGCTGCCAGAGAGTTATTTTTGTCAGCAGATGGGGATAATCTCTTTTAAGTGATCATGATGCTTGGTATAACTCTTTAATGCATAGTAGACTCTGATTAGTGTTACCCTTTCACAAACAATTGACATAAAAACTGCTACATTGATTACCCATGTCACACTCTGTGCCCACATGACGACGAACCGTTCACATTGAACACTCACTTCAGTAGTATCCTGTGCATTAGAAGGGAATCTGTAAGCTTGTATAATGCTCTGTGATTCCATTTTGGTGTTTTTCAACTGGTCGCCTACCACTAAACATACAGAATAAATTTTAATATGTAATTCTCTTATAAAATAAAATTACTGCAGATATACATTTTTGTTTTAGCCTTACTCTATTTTAGTAATATGGATGATTTAAAAAAAGGGGGGAAAAAAAAGGATTCTCAAAGTACCATAATCTGTACAAGGTATTGTAGTGTCTGTGAGTGAAGTCCCTCTAGTGGCAAGCTTTTTGTTATGACATAAGCCAGCAGATGTCCCAACATGCAAAGTCCACCCTCTGTTGGAGACGCTGCAGTGGTGGCTGAAGGACTATATATATAATATTACATTGGCTTTCTTAAACATGAAATGGGTAGGATGTGAATAGGCCGTTCCTTGTCCCCCTTTAGTAATATTAATCCATCATGTAGTTACTTATGGTTTGTGGAAATAGGTGAATATTCTCCCATGCCTATCAATATTGGACTTTGAAACGTTAGTTTTGGCTTCTTTTCTTTTACCTCGACCTCTCATCTTGTGCATGTGAGGGTAGAAGAGGTAGCCCTGTTAGTGTTAATTTCCCTTTCATTTTTTATTTTTTATTTTTTTTTTTACTTCTATATATGCAGGTTGCTTATAGAAAAACACTCAAATAACATTTTATTTAACATAACACTAACACATTTAGAATCTCTAAAAATCATAAATGAAAATATCGATTAGCAAAAAAATACAGGAAAAAAAAAAAAAAGTTGTGGGCATCTGAGAGAAAGAGATGTGATTATAGCTTGCCTTCCGAAGAGGCAATATAGTCACCAGAACAATTACAGATTTTTGTATTTGTTCTACTGAGTATAATCATTCCCTTCAGGCTTTTCAGAGAAAAGGCCATATTTACATTACAGCCTAGGGCAGTGATGGCTAACCTTGACACCACAAATTGTTTCTGGACTACACTTCCCATGATGCTCAGCTAGCTTTTAGAGTCTAAAAGCTAGTTGGGCATCATGGGAAATGTAGTCCAGAAACAATTTGTGGTGTCAAGGTTGTGTGTGTGTGTATATATATGTGTGTGTGTGTGTATATATGTATATGTATATGTATATAATATATATATATATATATATATATATATATATATATATATATATATATATATATATACACACAGGGAGTGCAGAATTATTAGGCAAATGAGTATTTTGACCACATCATCCTCTTTATGCATGTTGTCTTACTCCAAGCTGTATAGGCTCGAAAGCCTACTACCAATTAAGCATATTAGGTGATGTGCATCTCTGTAATGAGAAGGGGTGTGGTCAAATGACATCAACACCCTATATTAGGTGTGCATAATTATTAGGCAACTTCCTTTCCTTTGGCAAAATGGGTCAAAAGAAGGACTTGACAGGCTCAGAAAAGTCAAAAATAGTGAGATATCTTGCAGATGGATGCAGCACTCTTAAAATTGCAAAGCTTCTGAAGCGTGATCATCGAACAATCAAGCATTTCATTCAAAATAGTCAACAGGGTCGCAAGAAGCGTGTGGAAAAACCAAGGCGCAAAATAACTGCCCATGAACTGAGAAAAGTCAAGCGTGCAGCTGCCACCATGCCACTTGCCACCAGTTTGGCCATATTTCAGAGCTGCAAAATCACTGGAGTGCCCAAAAGCACAAGGTGTGCAATACTCAGAGACATGGCCAAGGTAAGAAAGGCTGAAAGACGACCACCACTGAACAAGACACACAAGCTGAAACGTCAAGACTGGGCCAAGAAATATCTCAAGACTAATTTTTCTAAGGTTTTATGGACTGATGAAATGAGAGTGAGTCTTGATGGGCCAGATGGATGGGCCCGTGGTTGGATTGGTAAAGGGCAGAGAGCTCCAGTCCGACTCAGACGCCAGCAAGGTGGAGGTGGAGTACTGGTTTGGGCTGGTATCATCAAAGATGAGCTTGTGGGGCCTTTTCGGGTTGAGGATGGAGTCAAGCTCAACTCCCAGTCCTACCGCCAGTTCCTGGAAGACACCTTCTTCAAGCAGTGGTACAGGAAGAAGTCTGCATCCTTCAAGAAAAACATGATTTTCATGCAGGACAATGCTCCATCACACGCGTCCAAGTACTCCACAGCGTGGCTGGCAAGAAAGGTATAAAAGAAGAAAATCTAATGACATGGCCTCTTTGTTCACCTGATCTGAACCCCATTGAGAACCTGTGGTCCATCATCAAATGTGAGATTTACAAGGAGGGAAAACAGTACACCTCTCTGAACAGTGTCTGGGAGGTTGTGGTTGCTGCTGCACGCAATGTTGATGGTGAACAGATCAAAACACTGACAGAATCCATGGATGGCAGGTTTTTGAGTGTCCTTGCAAAGAAAGGTGGCTATATTGGTCACTGATTTGTTTTTGTTTTGTTTTTGAATGTCAGAAATGTATATTTGTGAATGTTGAGATGTTATATTGGTTTCACTGGTAATAATAAATAATTGAAATGGTATATATTTGTTTTTTGTTAAGTTGCCTAATAATTATGCACAGTAATAGTCACCTGCATACACAGATATCCCCCTAACATAGCTAAAACTAAAAACAAACTAAAAACTACTTCCAAAAATATTCAGCTTTGATATTAATGAGTTTTTTTGGGTTCATTGAGAACATGGTTGTTGTTCAATAATAAAATTAATCCTCAAAAATACAACTTGCCTAATAATTCTGCACTCCCTGTGTGTGTGTATGTGTATGTATATATATGTGTGTGTATATATATATATATATATATATTCATATCAAAGTACACGTACAATGATATTGACTATAAAATAAAATTTTAAAAATAAAAATATATACATGTATAATTTCGTTCTAACTGTTTTAAAATTAATATACATATATCAAAGTGTGTGTGTGTGTGTGTATATATATATATATATATAATAATATAAAAATTCCACATATATATTTATGTAATAAGTTTACATAATTAGGTCATTTTATTAATTACAATTTGCAGGACCTGCCAACCCAGGCCGAAAGTTCAGGGAATTTAATTTGCTAGCACTAAATTTAACCCTGTAACTTTCCAATACACCATAATACCTGTACATGGGGGTACTCTTTTACTCGGAAGACTTCGCTGAACACAAATATTAGTGTTTCAAACCGTACAATATTTTTTTTTGCATTTTTTTCACACACAAATGGCACTTACACTGACAATATAATTGTGATGCGTTTTACTGTTTTGAAACACTAATATTTGTTTTCAGCGAAGTCTGCCAGGTATAACAGTACCCCTCATGTACAGGTTTTATGGTGTTTTCAAAAGTTACAGAGTCAAATATAAGGCTTACGTTTCAGGTTTTTCACATTGAAATTCGCCAAGTTGGTTATGCTGCCTTTGAGACCGTACGGTAGCCCAGGAATGAAAATTACCCCCATGATGGCATACCATTTGCAATAGTAGACAACCCAAGGTATTACAAATGGGGTATGTTCAGTCTTTTTTAGTAGCCACTTAGTCACAAACACTGGCCAAAATTGGCATTCAAATTAGTTTTTTGCATTTTCAAATATCAACACTAACTTTGGCCAGTGTTTGTGACCAAGTGGCTACTAAAAAAGACTGGACATACCCCATTTGCAATACCCTGGGTTGTCTACTTTTGCAAATGGTATGCCATCATGGGGGTTATTCTTATTCCTGGGCTACCATACGGTCTCAAAGGCAACGTAACCAATCTGGCAAATTTCAATGTGAAAAAACTGAAAAATGTAACACGCTATATTTGACTCTGTAACTTCCCAAAACACCATAAAACCTATACATAGGGGGTACTGTTTTACACGTGTGACATCGCTGAATACAATTATGTGTATTTTATTGCAGTAAAAGCAAACCGTATTATGACATTCACAGTTAGAATGTCACATAGAACTAAAAAAAAATAGTAATTTTTATTTTTCCCCATTTTTAAAAATATTTTATTCATATTAAATTACGTTTCATACCTATATATTTGATGTTAAATGAAAGCCCGGTTTCCCCTGAATAAAATGAAATATATGTGTGGGTGCACATAATATGAAAGAGGCGAATTAAACCTGACATATAGCGCAAATTCCAGTTTTTGTTTACGTTTTGTTTTGATCGCAACGTGTACATTTGGCTGCGTCCTTAAGGGGTTAATACAACATTAATTTTGAGGCATGGCTAACACATCTTCTTTTCCTTATGTAGAATAAAATGTCTCGTGGAATCCCGAGAAATTCTGTGCTGGCCCGAGCTCAGGCTCAGTTGGCGGGTAAAAGAGTTCCTGTAAAATCGGAGGATCCCACAGATGAACATCAGGTACACATGGAAAGACAGATAATAGGAATTCTAGGGATTCCATAGGGTATCGAGACAATGTTTACCAACATCGACCAAAGATGCAACTGCTATATTCTGTAATCACAGTGGAATATCTTTTTATAACTTTGTATTCTCTATTCAACACATTGAAAGTTAGGGGCTAACATTGATTTATTTTTAAGGCATCACTTGTGACCCAGTCTTTTCTTTTTTTTTCTTTTTTTATTTCATGAATTGCATTAGGATTTTATAGATTTTTATTAATAACTACCTCCCCGGTTATTCATTTAATAACCTCCACCTATAGGTGGGGACTAGTGGGACAGGTTAATATTGATTCAATAGTCCACACTCGCTGCCTGTTGATGGGATCTGAGCGGTAAGTAGTTTTCGTTATCCCCACCCCCCACATCCCATCGTTTAGTATTTAATTAGGACTCCCCTATTCCCCTGCTACCTGTTCCAGGGCTCCTTGGACGTTACTAGCAACTGGGCAGTCGCTATTTGTTTTTTATGTCAAGCAGCCACTGGATGCTTGTATTTTAGTGAACATGTCCCACCCGCAGCATGTTGTCTGGGGGCATAAGGAAGGTTTAATACTGATATAAGGGTCATATTGACCCCATAGTCGTTAAAAAAAGAAATTAAAACAAAGCCCAACATGCTTAGTCGTTTAAAAAAAAAAAAAAAAAGCTAATAAAGTGTCTTATGAAGCACATTTATCAAAGATTTTGTTTCAGCTATGACAGAAGTAATTGAATATATTGGTTAAAACCTATTTTTCAGGAGCACAGGCAGGTCTTGGAAATATTTTGCCATTTGGCCAAACATTCAATCATCTTTTTATTACAAGAACACTATAGTGTTAGGAATACAAACCATATAATGCTTTCCGATGAGCTGGTGTGTCACTTGACTGAATTTTACTCAGTAGACGCTGCACGAGCACTTCTAGTGGCTGTCTGGTAGTTGTTTAACCCTGCAATGTAAACATTGCAGTTTCTACAATACTGCAATGCTTTACAGCACAGGAGTACAATCACAGCACCTCTGCACCCAGACTTCTTCATTGAGGTGAAATGGCCTGTGTGACGCTAGTGAGTTTAAGAATGGCCAAGAAATATAGGTGATTGCAGCCACACAAATATCTTTATGAATAGCATACATTCAAACTAAACACATTGTGCTGTAAGACCTGTTTGCAAATTAAACCATTTTCCTACCATTTAGAGGCTGTGTGAGTCATTGCCAGGGAAGGTGTGACCAGGGCTGCATAAGCAAAGGGATTTAAAGGAACAATCTGGGCACTATAGCAATTTTATCTCTTTGAATTCATTATAGTGCCTGGATTACCTTGGTGCTGTCACTCCATTCAGTGTTAAACCGGTTTTGAGTAGTTTAACAGTTAATTTGGGTACTTGGCCATACACAGCTCAGCTACAACTGGGGGTATCTTACCCTCCCATGGCTGGTCAGGCTATTGAGGAAGCAGCATAGAGGGGACATGCTGGACACCAATTAAGCATTAAACCATTAAAATTGGATTTACACAAAATGGAAGGATGGTGTCGGGGCTACAGACACTATGACCACTTCAATAAGAGTTAAAAGGAACACTATCTGTACTGTAACTGCTTCATCTCAAACTGTAGAGAATTTTACTGTAACTGCAGTGATATTCTCTCTAAGACTTCATTAAGCTAAAGTTGTTTTGTTGATTTAGAGTATCCCTCTTAATCAAAACCTAAAGACGTAACATATGGACTTTAGAACTATATTATAAGTTGCCGGTGTTAAATAAGGTTTCAGAAATTATTGGTACTAAAACATTTGACTATTCCTTTTCCTCTTCTTATTTTGTTAGAAGTACATTGATGAACTCCACAAAAAAACAAGAGCCTTAAAGCTTGCTCAGCCATCATTTGCAGATCTAAGTGACATTTCAGCTGATGAGCAGATAACTGAGAAATACAATGAGAATGAAGCCTTTCATTGGCCAGCAGGAACACAGAGCCGGTTCCTGAAGAAAAAAACATTGGATTCGAACAACACTCTTGCTTCCTCAAATGAAAAGGCATTATCTGATCGTTTATACCCTACTAAGTCAAAGCCACTTTCCATAGCTGATCAGAAGAGATTGACAGAGACTAATAACAGACTCCAAATATGGTATTAGTTATCTTTTCTATTAGTTTTTTTGTTTTGAGCAATGTTCTGCTGTTTTTGTATCTTAAACCCAGTGGCTGCATCATTTCCTGGTATAGTTCTAGATCAGATGTTTCCAAAGGTAGACCTCCAGCGGTTGTAGAACCTCAAGTTTCTTGGTGGTTTGTCAGCTCTGTTATTATTGTCAGTGTAGTTCTACAACATTGGGACTTCTAAATTTGCCCACCCTGTTCTAAAGCCTTTTGAATTTTTCCTTACATTTTCTATCACATCACCTCATTTCTTATTTCTAAGTCTACAAACCCATTGTTCTGAATGTTCTAGAAAAGCTAAAGTCTAAATTTAGATTTCTCAAGTTTTCAAATATGTCCTTGTTACTTTATTTACTTGATCGTTTACATTTCTATGGTCCTTCTTTGCAGGAAATCTGAATTGGATGTTTCTGTTAATGACTCTGACCTGCGAACCTCTGAGGATGGGCCATTCTCTAATAGGTCAAGCAGTGACTTCAGCACAAGAGGTGCCAAATTCTTGAAGAAAAATGTTAACAATGAGCAAGTGCATAAAGGAGGACTTGCAACCGTAAACCTATCAACAGAGAGTAAGAAAGTTGCTTTTGAAAATGAAAAAGGGGAACCCTTGCAGACTCTTAGCTCAGTCGAAGCATCAGAAGAATTGGAGAAGTGGTGGAAAGCAGCGGTGAGCATTTTTATATTTTAATAAATAATACTGCCTTGGTAGAATTCATGGAAATTTTAATCTTCCAGATATGTTTACATTTTAGAAGTCAGGAAAAGAATATGTTGGTACTTTATGAATGCCAGTAATAAATAAATGTAATGAAGTAGAAAGTGTCACGCTCACCTGGTTATGAGCTATAGTCCTAGCTCAAAGAAAATTGCATTAGCAGTATAAATAACGGAACATGGCAGCATGTAATAAAAACATTAGTTTTAAATAACATAACATCAAACATATCATTACTACTATAGCTCCTAAAATTGTGAGTGCGATACTTTCTACTCCATTACATAGAGATATATTTTTCATAACTGTAGAGTCAGACTATATACATTTGCTTCTTTCTCATATTGGTACAATGCTGCAAAGAACACTTCCAGCAAGATAGGTACATTTTATTTTTGCGCCTATGATTTATTGTTTCTTTTGTCTAAAACATGTCATGAACGCACCATACTTCAAGAGTGTGCGTGACTTAGTTGTGGTGGTTAAAGGTTACTAGTTGTCTGCACTAGACCGGAAATAATTATATAAAAAAAAAAAAAACCTTAACACCACCCACACTTGAGCATAATAATATAAATATTACTATTTTAATGCTGTCACCACCAAGACAATTTATAAATGGGGTGCCTTTGTCCCCCAGGTAACTTAATACTAAAAAAAACACCAAATACACAATAGATATGCAATTGCAAAAGACTCATTAGTCTCTTCAGGTAACGTGATTCTTTACCAGACAAAGGCAGAACTCAATAAAGGAACATTCATTATGAGCAAAAAAATAGTCACAGTGCATACAAAAATATAGATGATAAACAAATTATTTACACCAACAACAGATACAAACAAAGGGGATAAAATAACAGAAGTCCTAATCACTTACTACTTAGGTTTTCAAAGTAAAGCTTCTGCCCAGGGGGTCTTTGGCAATGAAGATGGTGACTCACTCAAAATGAGATTTTGGCCCCAAGCAAGTACAATACACATTTCAATATCATTGGATATATACCCTGTGGATTACCAAGCCTGGCCCAGAGGTGGAGATAATGCGTACCTATAGAGACAATAAGTGACCACTCCTTTGTGTTCTAAATCAACTTTAATTCAAATGGAAACATTTGATTCTATATCCTCTTATGTACTTGCCACAGAAATATTGCATCTGTGAATTTACCATTTTTCCATTCCATAGATGTGTCACACTTCTTACTTGTGACCCAATATAGCAGACATCACAATCCATTCACATATGGTTAAGTTAAGCAATCCTGTTTAGGCTTAGTTAGAAGATTGTGCATGTCCCATTCTAACGATAATAAGTGAGGCTTAATTATTTATTTGTGGGTAAGTATTAATGTTTCTTTTGGATATGATACTTGAACACTAGGGGTTTTTCTTGAAAGCTAATTACCATTCATATCAAAGGACTCCCTATCTAAGAGGAAATCTAGACATATGGCAAATTAGTTAGTTTATATTTAAACCAGACTTCCAGGCCACTTATATGTGACTTCTCAAACCGTACAGAGTAGCTCTGTTGGGGTCCTCCGCTTCAAAGAGGAATTTAGGTTCTAAACCATCTGACCTCCCATACAATTAAATTAACCCTTTTTGAAATTTACAATACCACCTCTACCAAGTGGCCAATTCATCTATGCACTACACAGATTACATTAAATGGCAATATTTTATAGTGCAACAATAAGATTGCACCATTGCCGTGACCATCAACATATTGTAATATCGAACTGCCTTCAAGATAAACCACTCTTTTATAAACAAATGTGATCTGTGCATCATATCTACTGTAAATAATTTTACAACTAGAAATTAAAAATCCACACAGGAATATATGCCAATGTTGGGTAACAAGTAGTGATGTCCTGAACAGTTCGCCGCGAACTCCTCATTGAGTAAACTTTGACCCTGTACCTCACAGTCAGCAGACACATTCCAGCCAATCAGCAGCAGACCCTCCCTCCCACTTCCTGGACAGCTCACTAAGAATGCAGCTTCACAATGAATGTAAAATGGATGCTGTCCAGGAGGTGGGAGGGTCTGCTGCTGATTGGCTGGAATGTGTCTGCTGACTGTGAGGTACAGGGTCAAAGTTTACTCAATGATGTGTCTGCGGAGAACCGTTCGCGGCGAACCGTTCGGGACATCACTAGTAGCAAGCAGTGTGGCATTGTGAGACAACTTTCCACCTTTCATTGCCTCCCACTACACTCTTCAGTGCTCCTGTGGGTTGACCACAACCCAAAACCTGTAAAAACAATATCTTCTTATCTCTACTATGCACTAGAAACCAGCCAGGACTCCATCGCCTCCCAGCAAAGGGACCCCACGCAGGAGCTTACGTCAGAGTCCAACAGCTCCAGGCTTCAACTCTCCACGAAGACCACTTTCACGATTTCTTTCCAGGACTCCCTCACCACCAAGTCGAGGAACACCTAGGTTCCGCAGAACACCCTCCTTAACCCGCTTAGCATCCCGTTCTCCCTCACTGTCAGCAAGGAGCTCCATAACTAACTCCTCCCCAAGGCTCAGGTTAAGACGTAGCCAAACACCATTATCTCAGAGAAGTGACTTTAAATCTCTTGACGAGCTTTTCTCCAGAACAGAAGATGTCAGCAGTGCAAGTTCCAATGGTTTGTACTTCTTACCATTTTTACTTTACATAGCTACTTATTGCAATATATTTTTATGGTTGAAAGATGCATTTTCCAAACTACACCAATAACTGGAGATTCTGGCTCCTGATTTATATCCTGTGTAATCGCAATTATTCCAGTTTTTTAGCTGAAGGGAAGTTGATGTGACCAGTATGTCTGACCAAGACACTCAAAATAGTTCATTTATTATGGGGGCTTAAATGACATGCATGCATTATTTTCCTGCAGACAAGGTTTTATACATGCAGAAATTTGCTAAACTCACTGCAGTTAAATGCCTACTCCACCGATTTAAAATTTCACGTCCTGTGCCACTAACCAGGCTTTACAAGTTACTTGCCAGTGCAAGTTTGAATGGTCCATGGCACTCTCATGATATTGCACACAAGTAACACATCCAGCCGCATTGTCCCCACAAAAACATTACATTGCACTTACAAAGAAAATGGACCCATGGCAACTTTTCTGTATGTGTGAGTGTGTTTATAACTATCTTTCTTTATGTGTGGGAGAGTGCACATATGAGCTCCTGGATGTGTGCATGTACATAGATGCATATCCACAATCTCCCATACATACAGACATCAGTAAGTGGCAATGTCTGTATGTATCATATTACTGCATGTATGCCTTTATGTATAAGAGCATGCCCATTTTTATGCCTAAAAGTATGAGAGTGCATAGCTATAACTGGGTTTGAACCTGTGTAGTTTATTTTAAGATGCGGGTATAGATTTGTTGGGTAGGGTCACAGTAGAATAGGTTTCCGCTTTATAAATGCTTTTAAAGGAACACCATAACCACTCTAGCACTTTGTTTTGGTTACAGTGCTAGGTGTGCCCCAGTGCCCAACCATTGTAAGGCAACAAACCACTTTTAGAATGGTTTAACTTCTTACTCGTGTTCCACTAGTCATCCCTGCCTGACTCCTCTACTGCTCACTGAGAGCCAGAATCTCTCTTTACTGAGCTTTGCACTCACTGAGCTGCAGAGGAGGTGTGGAGCCGCTCATGGCAGACCTCAGGCAAGAGGTAAAGTGCCCTGTAGTGATTAATGGCACATGTAGTGTTCCTTTTAATGAAGTGTAATTTCCATGAGGGACTGTTGTAGATAGGTACACTGTAGTAGGGTTTTGTCATTTGTTCTAGACTTCTATCGATAGCATAAATAAGGGGCTTGTACAAGAGCTGATAAAAGAACATTCCATTTGAAGAAGAAGAAGAAAAAAAGCTACATAGTAGATATACCCACAAAGAAAATATGCATGTAATTTGTTTTTCATGTTTTCTTTGGGAGTTTATGAAATCTTGGCTTACAATAGCTTCACATGTTACTGCAAACCCTCCCAGTATTCCCCTGCACAGTCTTTGTGTCACAACTTATTGATAAGTCTTTACTAGGCAGATGCTCTGTTTAGTGGCCTGCCTCTTGAGTTTATTTCCACTGAGCTGAACTGCCAGGAAGTAAAAGGGTGGGCTGTCTGACAGCCAGGGAGGTGTATCAAGGTTAATTTCTAAACGTGTCCATTTTAGGATGTATTTTGAGTGCCCCTTGAATGGAGATATGGTGGTAGATGATGTTATCCTGTCTACCAAAAAGGTAGATTTCATGCTGCTACAATTGCCACCCCTGTGATAGGTCCTTGTAGTAGTTTCATTCACCTGATCTGTGTAGGGATTGTGAAGTGTATATATAATCCCTCCCTCAAAAACTATGGAAAAACTAGGATTTGTTGAGAGATAGTAGACAAAAGTTCACTTCAGGAAGTTGCATACCTCAGGGACACAGTATGTGCAAGCCCTCCTCCTCACTTGACAAACTCCTTTGTTCAGTGTGAAGGGGCCTGAGCCATGAATGAGTACATATGTGGCCACATCTATAGCTTTATTCCCAAAGCTTTATTTACATGTCCCTAAAAGTCCTGCTCATCCTTCATTGAAAACAATAGAAGCTTCATGATTGACTGATCCATGGTTTGATGAAAGCTCACTGGAGAAACTGCAAACATGCCACTCTAACAACTTGGTCTGAGCAGTCCTCAAAGTCAAGCCATGGGTTATATATGCATGGCATGGGACTGACAGTCACTTCACATAAAACAGTGAGCCAGTCATTGAGTAAAAGCAGGCATAATGTAGCCGCCTCAATCATTTTACAGAGTGTTTCCACTCATCCTATATGGTCAGTGGAACTACTCTTGGGTATAAACACTCCCTCTTTTTTATTTTAATCTAAATTTTCTTCCCCTGGACAAGGTGGTGTGAATAATTAATGGGGTACGAAAGTGGCTAGTTTTCTAAATGTGTATTAGTGTAATTTCTGCTGTGCGGTTTATGAGCTAACTTTATTCGTCATTCTTCCATCCTAGATTTTAAATTGAATATTTTAAGCCTTGATGACTTGGCACCAGCAGAAGATAAAGTGGAAACCAGCGGACAGGTGAGTAGGTGTTGAACCTTCTGGTTTTTACAGAGCACAAACAATTTATTGCTCAGAACATACTGAAAACAAAAAGAAAGACCTTATTCTGTCAGTGCCGAGCTTCAGGATATTATCTCATGAAATACAGAATATTCAGAGCAAACATGAATGTTTCTGAAGTCAATCACACAAGATTTCTTGTTAGTAAGCATTGTTGTCCTACACTCTGTTCAGAGGAGTTGAATGTACCACTCCCCCCATTTCACCAAGTCCAGGATGGTACTTCCATAAGGTTTAATAGATATAGGTAAAACACTCCTGGTAAAAGAAAAAAAATGCCATCCATTTTTTCCCTATGAAAAAAGGTACATAAGCTTGCCACTCATATTCTGGTTGCCAGTTCTAACACTTCTGTGGGCTGTATTTGGGATTTTGGAAGGGAAGCAGGGTTAGCCAATCCCTACAAGAGGTCATTCTACTTGAAATGATCAGAGATATTGCTTTATAAAGAGTCACTTAGAGATTTTTAAGTGAGATGAGCACCCTAATATCCAATTTCCCATATATTATATTACATTTCAGTACACCGAATGGTATTTGCTATAACATTTTCCTATACGTAGCATATGGTACCCTTCCATTTCTACATGTGCATCGGATACTACAGGAAGGCTGAAGCCCTTCAGTAGCATGACCATCCAAATTATTCAAGTGTGTTTTTCTGCTGGCAGACTGTCTGGCTAGAAAAGTCAATGTTGCCGTTCTCAAAGGTATTGTGAATCAAACTGTTCTTTATGCTGCAACTGAATAGAGGTGTTAAATGTTGCATATGTTTTTTGAGCATTAACACACTTCATTTGTCCTACTGTTTACTGGTCTTAAAAAAAATTTCAGAATAAATAAATAAAAAGGTTGTTTTGGTTAATACCATTAAGAGGATATAAAATATTTGGATATCTGTGCAAAAGAACCAGAAACTTGTATTACTCCAGAAAAACTCTTTTATACAATATATGTAGCATATATATACTTTCTAACATTTTGTTCCTAGACATATTTTAGCAATTTACATATTAACTTTTTTAGCAAATGTTTTCTAAAACAGATTTTGGTTTTCAATTATTTATTTTGCAGAACGAGAATAAAATTACAGGAAATGCCAAGTTTATTCATCATCTATCTGATGACCAAGACAGAGCACCTTCACCTGAGGCAGAAGATAGTAGCAAGAAAAGTCCTTCAATCGAGAGCTCTGTGATATCAGAACATGTGCACAGCAACCTGTCCAGGTCATCTGATCCCTCTAAGGAAATAGATGATGAAAACACCATTGACTCTGTTTACTCTGAGGATTTTGAAGATTCTGTGGATAACTTACCCTCAGAGTCAGGAAAAATTTCAAACTCCGAGTCGTCTTCGAAAGAGAAATCATATACAGGAAGCAGACAATCCTCAAGTCTCTCATCACACTCTCGCCACCGCAAACCTCTTCATCAAAGAAAAGTACAGAAAAAGACTGTAAAGGAAACTGCCATACAGACATGTGACTCTGGCTTTCCCAGTTACTGGTCACATGGTAATTGTTTACATTATAAAGGTTCTGTGAGGAGTTACTGAGAATTAGACTTTAATAAGGAAATTATAATTTCTTAATTAAATTAGCGGGGGGGAGGAGGGACTGAAATTCAGAATATTTTATCCAAATGCTAGTGTACATATTTCAATTTTATTGTTCTCCTTGTTTTATTTTTACTATTCTGTCCAATTTCACTGATGGCTAACTCTGGCAACACAAACTTTTGTGAAATGTGATTGCCTGAAGAGGAGATATTTCTCATGATCCTCTGATGGAATCTGAAGGGTGCCATCACTGGCCTATACAACATAGCTTTAGTACTTGATGTTCAGCAGCAGAACGGCCTTAGTCTTCTGTGAACACACGCCAGGTACCTGAATTGAGTTAGGGATATGGCTTCCAATTTATGCTGGGTGCTGAAAATAGTGTTGGCATGGCATATTGGTCATATTGTAAGTTGGAACACGCATACAAGTTGTGATGTGTTCCACCTTGATCTTGGCTTCTATTATTTGAATTGAATTTTGTGTAAGCAGGAAGTGTGTGTCAGGTTGCCAGTAAGGTGTGGGGGGTAACATAACATACAGGGATATAATTTCTAATTAGTGGGTTAATAGCTGCTTGATCCAAGGAGACCTCTGACTGCTATTTTGGGGTCAAGAAGGAATTTTTTCCTAGTTTGTTGCAAAATTGGAAGCGCTTCAGACTGGGTTTTTTGCCTTCTTTTGGATCAACAGCAAAAACATATGTGAGGAAGGCTGAACTTGATGGACGCAAGTCTCTTTTCAGCTATGTAACTATGTAACCGCTAATTGGAATATGTAAGAACGAAAGGAAAGCAAGGATCGGAAGTGGAAAGTAACTCATACCTCACAAGCCTATACTTTCAAAGTACAAGTGCAACCCATGAACTAGTAATTGAATTGATTATATCAGAACGTTTAATAAAGTAAATATTAAAACAGGTATGTAAAAAGTATCACAGCTATTTTAGCTGAAAGTAAGAAGAGGGAAGGAGTACTGGCTTGAGAAATTAATAATAATAACAGGGAAAAGGGAAGGGAGTATACAACAATAGGAGAAACCTATGTACACCAAATATCAACTAAAGTGCCTTTGTGGGCACCCCTTAAAAGTATAGACTCCCATAGCCTCGAATACCAAAAACCCGTACCAAAAGAAAGAGAGCAAGACTCCTACCCCTCACACTGATTGCTAACCATTGCTAGCTGGTAAAGTAAATAGATTATTTCATACTAAAATCACAGCGTGGTGGCTTGTTTAAAGATTAGAATATAGCTGCAGCATCACCCCTTATCTAACTGCCGCTCACTGCTCAAAACTGTCCCTTTGACGCGCATTTCGACGAATAATGGTTCTTCCAGGGAAAACAGGTCTAACAGTGGTTTAAATATCCCGTCCTATGCTCCGATTAGATGTTATTTCCACCAACCGGACTGAAGGGCAAAGATGACGTGAGTAATGTTTATTAACCCTTTGTAATAAGGGTGATCTTAAGTAAATTAGTGTAATTCAATGAATTCCAATTCTCTTAATAAAAGGAAAGAAAAGGAGAAAGTAGGCTAGATAATCATAGCCGGAAAAAATCCCTTGGTGAGTATCGGTGTAGAACGGACATTATTAAATCATCGTTATATTAAACCAAAACCTACAGTAAAGTAGAAATCTAGTACGGGATCTGTGCTAGATCGGAAGTGTAATAAGCCACTAACAGCAAATGTTACTAAGTAGCTACAATAGGGATGTGCATGGGAAAAATATTCGGTTCAGTTCGTCATTCAGATATTCGGGACTTCGGCACTTCACGGGGTTGGGTTAGGCTTAGGGGTAGGGTTATGGTAGGGTTAGGAGAATGGTTTGGGGTTACCCTACCACTAACCTAACCCTACCCCAACCCTCTCCTGTTTTGCCACTTTTCAGAAATTTGAAGCACTTTCCCAAATTTGGCGGTTCGGCACTCCGAATTTCGGCACTTGTTCGGTTCGGCATTCAGAAATTTGGCACTTACAAATTCAGCACTTCGGACATTTGGAAGCATCTGAATTTCTGAAAATTGGCCGAATTTGCATTCGGAACGAAACGAATTGCACATGTCTAAAGAACAATTACAACCGCCCCCAGCCAACTGTATGTACCGATACAATGTAAGTAGTCAGTATATCTGTCAAACTTAATGTCAGAATGTCAGTGGTGAACCGGCATCCCAAAAGTGAAACACACACATGGCTTAAAACAGCCAATGTGAAAAATGTGTTATCAAGTTCAGTTCAGTGAATTTATGGGGAACGATATTGTATCGATACTAATAAAGCATCTTATTTTTAATTTATTTTTATTAAATAAAAAATTTTGTTTAGAAGCTGCCTTCATGGAAAAACAGATATATTTAAGTTGCTGAGGATAAACCAGCCGTTGTTAGACTAAATGATCGTACCCATACAGTGACCAGGTATTAAAATGACAGAAATACAGTCTTTATGTATTTCTACTACAGTCCTCAACAAAACTAAAAGACAGACCCCATGATACCTTATTAAATGACCTCTTCAAATATACTGGTGATTTAAAGCCAGTTGGTTTAGATGCCCCAATTAAACAGTTGTAAGGAAGGGGGAAATAAAGCCCCCTTTATTCTAAGGATGGATGAATGGAGTAAAATTAAACTCCTCATTTAGTCCTTTGGGATATAAGGTCCTAAACTGATAGATCCAACGAGATTCAGCCTTTAGTAACGCTATATTAATATCTCCTTTGCGGTGATTTAGGGATAATTTTTGAATCGCTTGCAATTTTAGTACACCAGGTGTGGCTACATGGTTTAGTTGTACATGTCTAGCCACTGGAATGTCGATATTTAAATCAGTTATGGAGTTGATGTGTTGTAATACTCTGCGGCGTAATTGCTGGTAGGTTTTATCAATGTATTGTAAACCGCACACACATGTAATAAGGTAAATAAAAGTAGTTGATAAAAGCATTGATAGTAACCTCCTTGGAGGTTTATTTGCTGACAACCGATTTAGTTGCTATAATAAAATCATAGACTTTAGTGTCCACACTTGTAAATGCCTTTTGTGGGTTGAAGCCATGTGGGCGCTGTTTGCGATGGTTCCAAGTGGCTATGTGTTAGATGATCTGCCAAATTTCTTGCCCTCCTAAAAGTAATTGAAGGTTGACCGGCAATAGTATTTTTTAGAGATTGATCAGATTGCAATACTGGCCAGTTTCTTAGAAAAACCTGTTGGGCCATGTCCCAATGGTTATCATAGGTGCCTATAAATCTAATAGTTCCTGGAGATATACAGGTATTTCTATCAGGTCTATGTAGACTCTTTGCTCTTGGGTATTGGCCATATGGAATGTTAGCCTTTAAATGGTATAGATGAACTGTGCCAATGTAGCAAGCTGTTGGTGGCAGTTGGTTTTCTAAATAGAGTGGTAGTAACTTCTCCATGTTCTTAGATATTAATTTTTAGATCCAAGAAGACTAATTCCTTCTCATCGATGACATGGGTGAGTTTTAGATTTATTGCATTCTTATTAAGTGTGTCTAGAAAATCAAAACATCATCTATATACCTGTACCATTTGTATATAAATGTAGTTAATTAGGTGTTTGTAATGGTGTACACTAGATTTCCTCCCACCATCCCAAAAATAAATTTGTCATAACTGGGTGCACAAGAAGACCCCATGGCTGTTTCTCTTAACTGTAGGTAGTACTTACCATTACATGTAAAATAATTATGTTTAAGTACAAACCTGAGGAGAGAGAGAATGTTCCTGTTTTTGTTCCTGTTCATTGAAAACGTTGGATTTGGCAAGAAAGTAAGCACAGCCTATTAGCCCTTTGTCGTGTGGAATATTATTGTATAATGCCACTATGTCCAAACTGTCTAGTGATGTATACTGGGGTACAGTTAGTTTTTCTAAGACTAACATAGTTTGTTTTGTGTCTCGTATATGAGAACTTAGTTTTTGTACCAAAGGTTGTAATAGTTTGTCAAGGAACTTACTGGCTCTCTCTGTGAGGCTATAATTTCCAGACACAGTTGGTCTCCCAATTGGGGGTTTGCATAAATCCTTATGCACTTTTGGGAGGCAGTAGAAGGTAGCCACAGTTATGTTAATACGAAGTATCTATATTCATTTGGTATAATAACTTTGTCCGTCAATGCCGTTTGTAAAATAGTTATTAGTTTCTTTAGATAAATGGAAGTGGGATCACCCTTTAGTGTTTGATATGAGGATTCATCTGCCAAATGAGTCATGCACATATCAATATACTGTTCTTTTTATATAGGGAAGATATTACCCCCTTTGTCTGAGGACTTAATGACTATGTCAGATTGCTGTTGTAATTCCTGTAAGGCTGGTCTTTCACTAAAAGTGAGGTTAGATACTTGTGTATATTAGTTTGGTTTTCAAGTTCATTAGTACAGATTTGAACAAATAAAAGAATTCCCCTGTACTGATTTAAGTTGGGGGTAAACCAGCTCAAAGGTTTAAAATCTGTAAGGGAACTAGAGGGTTCTTGTTCTGATTTTAAATCTGTCAAGAGTCTATATAACTCAAAGTCTTCTGTGGAGAGTCCCATTTCCTTCATTTTTTCCAAGGTTTCTCCTCTCATGAAAAGAATGGAGGGCCAGTTTCCGACCAAAAAGGTTTACATATTTTGCCCAATTAAACATATTTTTGTGAGTTGTTGGTACAAAGGATAAACCTTTGTTCAAATGTAATAGATGTCTAGGTTGCAAATCAAAGTGTGATAAATTGATTATTTTATTGTCATCCATCTTGCTATCTATTAGTAATTGTTCTTGTGAGTTTTGTAACCCTATTTTCTCCAGTCTGAGTCTCACTCTCTGTGGTCGAGCTCAATCCTAGTCCAATTCTCATAGATCCTGGAGTAAGTTTCATTAGAGGATTTTTATTTCACACATTAATCACAAATTATTAAATAAATTTATTGTGACAATAGTAATAATATGAGTGAAAATCAGTGAATATGTAGGTATAACATATGAATACAATATGGCAGTGGCTTAACACAAATTATAGACCGCTAAATTGCAAATTATATCGACATGTATGCAGTTTTCAACAAGATATACGACAAGACACTTCACTTTGAAATCAACTTAACAGCATCTCACAGCAGCACAACGTAAAGCAATAAAAACTTTAGCTGACAGTCAAATCACACTGAATTAGCTCATACACTGCTGGCTGTAATTCTCATAGGCAAGATATCCTTTTATATTGCAATTTTACAGATACAATATTTCTCATACTAGATAATTGACCATTCCGATCACCATCCAATAAGAATAATTCTAACCAGATTTTAGGTTTGCAGAATTTTAACTTTCCTAATCACGATTTACTATTTCTAAATTACGAAATCTAATATATCTGGATAATTGCCTGGTATTCTATTTTTAAAGTTAAGTGATCTAGAGTTCATTGGTCTACCTGCAGGAATGGAATTACGAATTCTACATGTTAACGAATCATGACTTCTTAATGTTGGAATCACCAGCTTTTATCCAAGTATATTCTGCCTCTTAGTAAAATCAATTAATTTAAATAAATTAAATAAAACAAGCATAATTGGCAGTAATGTTGTAGAGTTTGTCAGATTCGTAGATATGTCCCAGGAATTTTGAATGCGAGTATGATGAGAATTGTGGGAAATTTAGAAATGTTTTCAGAGTTCAGAATTTTAAGGAATTTCAAAATTAAGTGTTGAAAAAAGATACAAAGAATTAGGTGTGTCCAGCTTTAACTCCAGATGTCAGATCTTAGATCTTAGATGTGAGTCCATCCTCATAGTGAGTGTGTCTAGAGAGTGTGAGTGTGAGTTTCCGTCAATGTTGATATTAGTCGCATTCCTTAGCTCAGGCATGAATGAATAGAGTTACACAGAAGTAAAAATGTGTCTGTCTTTGCATTGTAATACAAAATGAGGTCACCTCTGTTCTGATGGTGACTTACAGTATATACTTTTAATTTCCATCTTAACACAAAATGTCTGCCAGTATAAATATACTGACCACTGGCTTTTGGTATTGGAGGCTATGGGAGTCTATACTTTTTTTGAGGGGTGCCCGCGAAGGCACTTTAGTTAATATTTGGTGTACATAGGTTTCTCCTATTGTTAGAGTATACTATTTTCCCTGTTATTATTATTCATTTTTCAAGCCAGTACTCCTTCCCTCTTCTTACTTTCAGCTAAAATAGCTGTGATACTTTTTACATACCTGTTTTAACATTTAATTTATTAAAGGTTCTGATTTCATCAATTCAATTACTAGTTCATGGGTTGCACTTGTACTTTGAAAGTATAGGCTTGTGAGGTATGAGTTACCTTCCACCTCCAATCCTTTCTTTACCTTCGTTCTTACATAAGTTTAGGGTTAATGCTGCAGGTTGGAGTTTACAGATGTAGATGTATTTAGTATTCTGAATTGAGTCAGAGACTTTGTGTTCTAATGTGATTCAAAGAACGTGTTGGTTTAAGCTTGCACATAGAATGTGATATAAGGCAAGGTGACAAGCAGGGCCAAAAAATGTATGGCCCCTTGTGCATGTCTAAACTTAACAGATGTTGACATTTTTGTGTTTTTTTTTTATTTATTTTCTTTCGTTCTCTTTACGATGTCTAATCCAACTAAGTCTTGGAATTCCTTGGAATATAGAAAAGACCAAAACACAAAACATTTGTGATGCAATTTGTATCGTAGCTTTACCGTATGGGTACAAGACAAGGTTGTACTCTGTGTTCTAGAGATGCTGCTAAGAGAGCCAAAATAGCATTGCATATGAGCCGGCTCCAGCCCAATTTACTGCTGATATTTTTGGATGTCAGGCTGCTTTACAGTCTGTTCCTACATCTAAGGATGCAACTAACAGTGGGGTTCTTAAGTTGATTTTTAGTTTTAGTGTCAAAAGCCTTTAACCCCTTAAGGACCAAACTTCTGGAATAAAAGGGAATCGTGACATGTTACACATGTCATGTGTCCTTAAGGGGTTAAACTTTATTCCAGCTGTGGGACAGCCTCATCACTGTAGCACAATTCTCCTGTTTGCATGCTGAAGACAGACCTCAAATAGATTTAAATAATTTAATCTATTTGTGACAGAAGCCTCTAATGGCTGTTTGTTTTTGCTGGTATTTATAGTCAAAGGGGAGGAGTAAGGTTGCTAGTTAATAAATTAATGCTTTTAAGTGCTGCCTGGAAGTATGAATGAGAAACCCATATGTGATCACTGATGATAATCAAGTGGATAGGGAAATTTTCAGCAACTAAATTTTTGTTTTTTGTTACACAGCAGCCACTATCCTTGAACATGGTCCAGCCTTCACGTTTTTGGAACCAGTTTCAATTGCCAGTCATGTTGTGAGACCAGAGTTAATAGATGGTAAGTTAACGTGAGAATATATATGAAGTGATTTTTAGACACTTCAGTGAGCACTGCACTATATATTCTTCCTTATAGGCAAGATCAGTCTGATATGCAAATGCTATACGTTATCTTTGTAATGGCACAAGTGAGCAAAATAATTTGTGATTCAGCGCTGCGGAATCTGTTGGCGCTTTATAAATACCAGTAATAAATAAAATAAAAATACATGAGCATTGTACAGCACTACGTAATTTGCTGGTGCTATATAAATAATAATAATAATTAGCAGGGACTAACTGAAGGGCAGCTCTGAGTTTCTCTAAGCTTATGTCCGTTCTCAGAATTCTCATGCTCTCTGGTTTTTTGTCCTCCCATTCAGAATTAAAAAATGCTTTAATGCTAAACAAGAGTCCCCAGCCACCCATCCTCTTTGTACAGTTTGCACTAATGACAAGCATTAGCCTGAGAAACAATGGGCTGCTGTGATTGGCTGATAGGCTAAATGAAGTTCGCTGACACTCTCACAGTGCCATTGCAGGTATTAATCCATTGCTACACGGAAGTGTGTGATTTCTGCCTTACCCACAATTACAGAACTATGGGAAGCCAGGGACCTAGTTCAGTGTTAGACTGCTAAAAAGAGGGATAGTGCCATGTGATGCCAGGCACTAGAACAAATTAAATTTGATTAAATGTGTCCTTTTACAGTAAATTGACAAAGTTGGAAGCTGTGAACAATGCAAAGTGGAAGTGAATGAAAGTCAATGCTATCTTCCATTGTTCGATACACTTGTGTGAATATTTTTTATATAGTGACAAACGGCACATTAAAAAAACTTTAATTGGCGGTAAAGGAAATTACTTCATTGGAATTTTTTTATTTTTTTTGAGAATTGAGATTGAAAGTCAGAAAATGACACAGCCAACTATTCAAGATCAATAATCTCACATCTGCTCTTCTTATTCTGAACTCAGTTTGGCTTTGAAAATAAAATTGCATAACGTGTGTGTGTGTACGCGCACGCGCGCCAAGAGCTTTTCTGAATTTCTTAACAATACCATTTCACCCCCTCCCAGCTCTGTCCACATACAACCCCATGGCTCTGGCATTGAATGACATGCTCAAGCAGCAACTTCTGCTGACCAAGAACTTTGTGGAAATGGCTCGACAGCAGTACCTGTCTACAGTCAGTGCTCTTGAAAATGAGAGATACCATTACACCACACTGGAGGACACCAAAGAGGTAAATACCGAGGACTACAACTAATATTTAGAAAAGTCAAAAGCAAAACTATATTTCTATTCACCAGTACATTTTTTTTTTTTTTTTTAAACATTCTTTATTTATTGTTTTCCGGTGTGGAAAAAGAAAACATTAGGGTACAGAAATGAAAGAGGGAGGGGGTGAAACAGCCACAATGATACAGGAGCACAATATTTTACTTGTCTTTGCGCCTTAGGGTGTTGCGAACAAGTAGTTGTGTCTTGGTGCGGTCCGTTGGTTAGGCGTTTATCGTGCAATAGTGCGGGGTTCAGGGATTTCTGTTTTGGACTTATTCCCTTTGCCCAATTCGTTTGGACCAGTCTGTATTGGTGGCCGTATGAGATTTGCGGCTCGTCTCGTTAACAGTTTTGTGGTAGGGTGGGATGCCCCCTATTGACTATTTTTATCGTCCTCGTTGCGTACTAATGGGCGCCCCTGCGTCTGGGTAGTCAGTTGGGGGGGGGGGTGGAGAACCTATGTACAAGGGTGAGAGTACCATGGCGGGACACTATTTCGGGAGCCCAGTAGACATCCAATGGTTCGGGTTGGGGTAATATTTGTACTGTGAGTTTCCGTGCGTTGGTCACCAGTACATTTTTAATTCCAGTTTTTCCTGTGATATAGCGGCTGCACACATGGTTGTTCGACCTGTATTGGACAAGTGTTCTATAAAAACTTAGACTAAGAACATTAGATCTACGCCCCACCTATTCCCTCCCAAAATAACAATAGAAACTTACCAGTACCACATTAACTCGGTACTTGCCTGAAAATGTGTGGGACAGATAATTATCTTAGGAGGAGGGACTCTGCAGGACCATCATGGCAGTCTATAATTTATGTCCAGCTGATGTGGTTGACTCAAGCAGTGTGTGTTCCAAAGCTACTAGAGTGGCTAGTTCCGGAGATGGCAAAAGAGAAGCTGTTGCATGCATTCCATGACTTACCTTTGCACTAGTGAACATTCATGACACCAATATTTGGAAAAGGTATTTAAATGCTTCTGAACCAATATGTTCCAAGAGTGTGAGTCAATTCAGATGTGCCGCCTGTTCTTCCATGAAAATATAGGCCCTCTAAGGTGAGAGATATTATCTCTAATTATAAATAGTTTGCTTATTGGTATTATTTGATATATATTTCTTATAAAAGTCCAGTCCACCTGCAAAGTAGTGGAAAAGCCTGAACAAAAATATAACTAAAAAAATAACTAAAAAACTGATTATTTATAAGATAAAAGCAACTTCTAAATCTAAACATTTAAGCTCTGTGCGGTGCATTATTATATTGCCTGATGTATGAAAAAAACAAAACAAGGTAATCAGTGTGCTAAGGAATTGCTTAAAAATCGAAGCAGCAGGATTTGTTGGCTTTCTTAATCTTTTACTACAATCCTCATAACCACTACATCCCAACTTATTTTTAGAATGCCTGGAGTACCCTGGCCAGGTTCCTCGGGAATGGGGCAAAACGTTAAATGTTGTTGAAACTGGATCTCAATGACATGCTTCCAGCTCCTGCACAGTTGCAGAAGCCACGAGCATCGCCAATCATTGGTTGAGAGTATCAGCTAACCATTCTCAGTCAACGACTGTCCATGAAAGTTGCACAAAGTTGACATTAGCTGTGAAGAAACTCTAGTTGCAGGCTGGCTGATGACAGACCAATTCCAAAAAGAGAGAATGGAAAAATCGAGGTAAAGCGGCTGTAAAGGCCTTGTCAGCTTTTCTCCCTAATACAGGTTTTCATGCAGATACGGTAGTGTTAAATGTAAGACTGTCTGTCTTTCTTTCCTAAAGTGTACTTCAACAATTAATCAATAAATAAATCTGTCTATACTTTGTAACTATTCAAAATCTTCTAAAGAAATTAGATTGCATTCTTTGGATTTTAAAAGAGCAATGGAATTTAATTTGTAAAAGACACCTAGAAGATCAGAACATCTGTACAATGTAAAGGAACACACAAAGGAAAACAAGCTTCCAAGGCCAAAATATCTCTACTCAAGCTATGTCAACAAAAAGGGCCACAAAAGCATGTGCCTTTTCCTGAAAGGATCTGCCAAGCAGGAAACTAGGCAACCATTCAATACATTCATTGGGAAAGTAAATAATTTGTAAGCATTCCTACAAAAAATTCCTAAATATTTTTTCTTCTCCAAACAGTGTGTAAATTTGAAGTTTATTATGGTAATTGCTATTTGCGTGGTGCAGGAAAGTACTGTACATGAGCTAGTATTTCAGTTGTTGCAATGATTTGATTTGTTCCTACTGCAAGCTGTACCATTGTTCTGACCTTATTTTATATCTGCAGTATATTAGGCAGCAGAAGTCTCTGAGACAAAAGAAGAGACTGGGAGTAGAAGCAGACAGGAGTCACCCTGCAGCTCGACAAAGAGAGCAGTAATAAAGATACGAATCGGACTTTAAATGCAGGTGCTGTATGGAGGCCTTTTCAGTCATACACACAGCTGCTTGGGACTGGACCTTTCAGGCCTAATAAAAGGTTTTACACTTTTGAAATAAAATGCATCCAAGGAAACTGTGTTGAGTGGACTTGGATCCCGTCACATCAGCACACACTATAGATGGACAGATGCCAATACCGCAATTGCATAAATACTGTATGTCTGTATGTAAAGGTCACCATTTCTTTAACATGGTTTGTTTTAACATACATGTTCTGGTAATATGTACCCATTGTTATTGAATTGTATCAGAGAGCATGTCCTTTTAGTCCCAAGCTAAAGAAAAGGACTTCAGCAACTGCTTTCATGGATCTCTCCTCGTTAGCATCTTTTGAAACCCTTGATTCTGATGGGACTGACCAGAGCAGCACAAAATATAAGCTGTGTATTGGGGTTAATTCTAATGTCTAGGTCACAGTATTCAGCACCAGTATTGTTGGGAGTCCCAAAGGTGAAGTGAAGTATTACTTTACTGAGAGGGTAGTGGATGCATGGAATAGCCTTCCAGCTGAAGTGGTAGAGGTGAATACAGTGAAGGAGTTTAAGCATGCGTGGGATAGACCTAAGGCTGTCTTAGCTATAAGAGACTAATGAAAGTATTTTAGAAAATAGGGCAGATTAGATGGGCCGAATGGTTCTTATCTGCTGTCACATTCTATGTTTCTAAGCAATCCCTGAAGAAAATATCCATTTGTTAACCGCTTCTTTCTGCACCCTTCTTAACTCCCTAAGGACGGAGGTGATTTTCCAAGTGCTGAAACAAAACTTTGAATTAGTTATCTATTTGTTCCACCATATTTTTTTTTTTATTTTTTTTTAAAGAAAGAAAAATCTATAAATGGATGGGTCCACTTGAAGAGAAACACGTAAAGGACAGAACATTACTGATGAATAGCATTCTCACAATGGGGGGAAAAAAGCAACAATTGTTTCACATTTTTGCTTCTAATTTTTACATATCCAATGCAATGAATTAAAAATAAGTTGAAATAGATTATACTACTCCTGATTATTAAATGCCAAATATATAGGAACTAAATAAATTTTTGGTGTTAAAAGCTAATCCCAAATCAACCCCAATACTAACTTTATACCAACCATACTTCCTACATTGCTTACAATTACTAACCGTCTACTAATCTTAACCTTAACCCTACACTATCCTAAATACAGCATTTATCACTGTTACCATAACACTACAGCTAACTCTACCATAGTTACAAATCTGAAAAGACTCTTGCATCCATCAAGTTCAGCCACATTTGTTTTTTGCTGTTGATGTAAAAGGAGGTAAAAAAAAAACCCAGTTTGAAGCACTTCCAATTTTGCAACAAGCTAGGAAAAAAATTCCTTCTTGACCCCAGAATGGCTGTCAGATTTATCCTTGGATCAAGCAGTTATTACCCTACATTGAAAGATTATATCCTTGAATATTCTGTTTTTGCAAGTATGCATCTAGTAGCTGTTTGAACATCTGTATGGACTCTGATAAAACCACTTCTTCAGGCAGATATTTCCACATCCTTATTGTTCTTACAGTAAAAAAAAAACCTTTCCTTTGCCTTAGATGAAATCTTCTTTCTTCCAGTCTAAACGCATCACCTCATGTCCTGTGTAAAGTCTGGTTTGTGAATAGATTTCCACACAATGGTTTGTATTGGCCCCGAATATATTTGTATAATGTTATCATATCCCCTCTCAGGCTATGTTTTTCTAAACTAAATAGGTTTAAATTTGTTAACCTTACTTCAAAGCTGATATGTTCCATTCCTTTTATTAATTTTGTAGCCCGCCTCTGCACTTTTTCTAGTGCCCTAATATCCTTCTTTAGAACAGGTGCCCAAAATTGCACAGCATATTCAATATGTGGTCTTACCAGGGATTTATAAAGAGGCACAATTATATTCTCGTCTCGAGAATGAATACCCTTTTTCATGCATGGCAATACCTTACTGACCTTAGCCACTGCTGATTGACATTGCACATTGTTGCACAGTTTGTTGTCTATAGCAATTCCCAAGTCCTTTTCGTGTGTTGTTATCCCGATTTGCTTCCATTAAGGGTATACGTTGCTTGTGCATTCTTTACGCCTTAGTGCATAACTTTGCATTTTTCAACATTAAATTTCATCTGTCATTTGAGTGCCCAGTCTCCAGTCTATCTAAATCCCTCTGCAGCAAAGTAATATCTTGCTCACATACCATAACTCTAACCCTAAATCTAACCCTACCATAACCCCACCATTAACACTAAGGAAACCCTCTGCTGATATCAATTCTGATAATTGAAAATGGGCTTCCTAGTCAAAAAAAAAGCAGATGGTGGTCTGTGACCGACATCGACTTGCTGCTTTCGTAATTGCATTTAATGTAATTATAAATGGAGCCTACGTCCAGGTAATTACATTGTGATCTGTTCTGGGCTGCTGACTAAGCCCAGCACTGGTCAGCATTGGCTAGGGACAGACAGGGAGACCTTGCCTGGAGCATTTAAGACCCATTTTTTTATTTATTTTTTTGACAGCTCATCAAAACGTCTGGGACCACTAAAAATGGCCCTGGCAGACAGAGGGGAACCCTATGTATCCTATGATTTTACCCGGCTCACACCAAAACTGCAAGACGTTCAATGCAGTCCTACAGAAAATTGAGCCCACTCTGGGTAGGATGGCTTGGAATGTTCTAATGTCGGGACAAGGTTAAAGGAACATTCCAAGCGCCATAATTACAACAGCATGCTGTAGCTACTCTGCTTACATGAATGCCCTGATGCCTACTAGTATAATTTACCTGTGGCCAAAAAGATAGATTACACAACTTTTAGTAATAATGTTGGCTCAGCATACGTATTAATGTCCAGGCACTCAATCCACCCTCCTGCTAATTAAAACCGAATCCAAATATCTACACTATAAATCCTAAATCACAACCATAAAGCAATAGAAGAATGGTCCTTAAATATGAGGTGCAATTTTGCGCACCAGTTTTAATTGGCTTTCTTTTTGTTAAATAAATCATGACAACATGTAATATGCCATGTGTTCATCTGAGGTTGTACTTACCTAATTTTAAGAACTGCTAAGGCACAGATTATTATGCTATATAAAACCATAATATTCAAAGAGAATGTACTTTCTTTTTGCCATGACTGTACAACTTATCAGTATGGCAAAAATATTTAGAACTTTAAAAAAAAAAAAAAAAAAACTAAGTTTCTGTGGTTATTTTCTCTGGGCCAGAGCCACATTAAGTTTGCCCAGGGCCCTAGGTAGGATGCCATAATGGTCCCCTCCTGGAGTCCTTGGCTCTTTTCTGTTGTGTGTTGTATGTGAGGAAGAGGCTGAGAACTTAAAGGGACACTGTAGGCACCCAAACCACTTCTGAGAAACTGGTAATAATTACCTCTGAGGGTTAACTCCTCCTCCAGTGGATGTCTATGAGACAGCCACTAGAGGGACTTCCGTAAAAAATCAGACCTTTGGTCCGTTATTTGACACTGGATGTCCGCATCAGATTTTTCCCCACAGGAAAGCTTTTAATGTGTTCCTATAGGCATGCACATTTGGTGGGGGAGGAGTGTGGGCAGAGTCTGACCCAGCGCTGAGGGACATCGGCACTGGATTCAGGTAAGTGACTGAAACTTTAACCCCTTCAGCTGCTCAGGAGGATGGCAGTGAGGGAGGGGGGCACTGCAGGATTCAACAGTGCCAGGGTTTATTTTCCTGGCACTATGGAATCCCTTTAATGTGGGATTTTGGCTGAGTGTATCTTTGTGTACTGGTTGAGAGGTGTGTACGGTGGCTGGATTTTGTGGAGTCTAACAGCGTATTCATGAAAATGAATTTCAAACACGAAAATAGCCATATTGGAAATATTCTCTAAATCAGCTATGCTTACAGTTTACTCTGATCTAAAACTTTAATTATCACTTTAGTGAATAACTCTGTAAGTGCAGTGGGGGAGAGGTCTTAGTGTGGCTGAGTGTTGTGTGCTGTCTGAGTATTGTAGGAGGTTTAATAATGTGCACTCCTTCCTGCTTTCCTTTTTGTTATCTCTGGTGGTCCAGTGGAGCAAGGCACACAAAGAGCAGGTGGTCTGTACCTTTATTGGGTGCAGATCACTATAAGAGCTCCTTCGCAGTCCCAGCAGTCCACAATGCTCCCTCAAAGAGGTGAGAGGACAGGGGCGAACTGGGAATAAAAATTATTTTATTTAGCAAACTTATTAGCAAAGTAGGTATCAGAGAATACGTTCACTCTTCAAATAGATCCTTAAGGGAACACTATAGGGTCAGCAACAGAAACATGTATGCCTGACCCTATAGTGTTTAATCCACCATTTAGGTTGTTTGCCCCCGTTAGCCACCTTCAAAATGTTAAAACTCACCTTGAGCTGACGCTGACCCTACCTCCGATCCGCCTCCTTGGTGACTTCACAATTGCCAATTTTTTTTGTCTGAAATCAGCAGGGTGGCGAGAAAGCAGGGGAGCCAAATACAGTTTTGGCCAATCAGCACCTCCTCATAGAGATGCATTGAATCCATGCATCTCTATGAGAAAATTTCAGCGTTTCCATGCAGAGTGTGGAGACACTGAACAACAGTGCTGCTTACTGTGCAGCACTACCCCAGGAAGCACCCCAAGTGGCCATCTGATGAGTGGCCACTTGGAGATGTCCCTAGGGGCAATATAAACACTGTTTGTGTGAAAATGCCTGAAGGCAATGATTATACTCTCCAGAATAACTACATTAAGCTGTAGTTCTTCTGGTGACTATAGTGTCCCTTTTAATGTACTGACAAACTTTCATTGACTAATACAGACACTCCTCACTTACCGACCGGTTTCAGTTCCCACGACCCGGTCGTAGAACTAATTGGTCGGGAAGTGAGGATTTAAGGGATTCCCTGCTCTGTTGCGTTCTTCTATGTTCGTGGAAATGTCCCTGAACATAGACGAACGCAACAGAGCGGGGAATCCCTCTAATTTCTGCTCAGGGAAATTTCCACCGAAATGCTATGTTCGGGGAAATATCTCTGAACATAGAAGAATGCAGCAGAGCAGGAAATCTCTCTAATTCCCACGACAGCTCACACTTACCACCCCGCGAGAGAGCTGGTCGTAACTGCGAGCTGCCGTAAAACAAGGAACACACTTCCTCATTGTGGGGATATTTATGGGATAATAATAGTAACAGTGAGAATTGCCCACTAATTCAATTCTCAGATCCCAAAGAACGTTTATCGTGTTAAGTGAAATGTATACCATATAAATAATATTCACAGTTTATATAAAAATAGATTTTTATTTATGATAACCAATAATTAATAATATATGTAACATGCATGACAATAATCAATGAATATTCAGTATAAAATGGTATGCAATACAAAGGAATGGGTATTACGTTTCAATGGCTTAACGGCATTATCTGTCAAGACTTCTACGATTTATGACTATCTTTAACACAGGCTGAAAGTGAAACTTTTCACAGCGAAGAACAGAATTCCTCAGAGTGCAGCGTAAGGTCGTAAAGTTTAGCAGACAGTTAGAATAACCCTTTCAATGCTGGCTAGATCTCCTAGGTAGTTAAGATCTATTCTTATGTAATTTTTAAATAAAATAACATTTAAACCAGTTTAAATTCATTTTCTTAAACCATCCAATAAGAGAATCTACATATTATATAAGCAGATTTTTAATTTGTCTAAAAGATATCTATCTTAATTTAGAGCAAATCAATACACCTGGATAAAAACAGCGGTATGCTAACACGTGATAATATCACATCAATATATAATTATTCTTAATTCCACCTGCAGAATGGAATGTTTATAACTATATATTCTTAGTTAACTAAGATTTCTTAATATGGAAATCTGACCGTGCTTTATCCAGTCATATATAATGCTATTAATACATTTTAATTAATTTAATTTAATTAAATGAAACCAGTATAATTACCAGTTGAGTAGATATTTCATCCGATTGGTAGTCTCAGGAATTTATTTGGATGTGTCTCTGCATGGAGGTTGGAGTCCCCAAACTTCCAATTCCTCTCTTTTCTCTCCTTTGCATATCTTGCATCTGCCTCCTTCGTATTTTTTTCTATCTTCCCTTTGTCTTAACTTTTAAAGGGCCAGACTCTCTGTACGTCATCAGTTGATAACCCAATAGAAGCACTAGAGGTGTGGTTATCTTCCAGATCGCAAATTAGTTATTTGGTCTGTAGAGGGCAGTCTTGTCCCACTAAACATACCTATCCAGGAAAGAGTTAACTTTTCCTGGTGGCTATTTTGACGTCATTTTGGCCTATCTAGATAGTGGCTATAACTTACGTATCCTTCAAAGATCAAAGGGGTTCTTAAATTTTGTCCAGACTATGTGTCTGCAAATCTGCTATAATTTCTGATATGACAGATCATGAACTAAGTTTACCCTTTTCCATACAATGGTACCTTATATATATATAGACAGTTAAATTTAAATTATTTAATCTTCTCTGTCACAATTGTCTGGGTTTAGATTTGATTATATTCTTCTTATCACTTGTTTATACTATGCTATACATTCCTTAGCTCTGGCAAAGAGGCCAGTCTTACAGAAAGAAATCTAGTGTCTTTTTTGTTAACTTGAAATAACAAAATGGAGTCTGGTCTGTTCAGAGTGACTCAGAATATACACTTTTAGTTTCTATCATAGCACAAAATGTCTGCCGATATAAATACTCTGACATAACCCCCCTTTAGTGCATTTCATAGCCAAAATTAATTTAGCTTATGAATAAGCACTATAGAAGTTACTAGACATATTGTGCAATCACATCATTTCTAACATAGGCCCGTGCGTGGAATGAACATTTTTGTATATATTTGTACCTGTAAAAGTTTTGAACTTTACACTTAGTACAATCAACCATAATATCATTATTATCATAGCACACCCAATAACAATCTTAACATGGATGAACCAGTCAACACGAGCAATAAGGTCAGTATCTAGCTCAGAGTATTTAAATGTATCCACAGAAATGTTATCTTTTCTGATTGACATTTGGATAGTGTGGTTGGGCTTGTGGTCCAGCAAGAATTTTAGATTAGGATCTAGAGGGATATCTAGATTCTGGAAGGGATCCACCATCTCAATAGCACTTTCGATGACGTCAGTGTACACTGGGTATAGCGTAACGTCACCGATGGTGATACGAGAGTCGTGGGGTACCTTGATCAGTGAGACAGGTGCTGGTAAGGCAATTACTTTATTAGTCACCTGGTCCCTGCGAAAAACACTTATGTTTTTAAGACACGTGCTTACCAACCATTTATCTTTTACTAAGATAGCATGTACTAACGCATTACTGTCGGTTTTTGACATAGTTACTTGACATGTTTCAGAGCCATGTTTAAGGTACTCGATCCCACACAAAGCATTGGTAGAATCGTACACAAAAGGTTTTCCATCACATTGGAAATTATTGTCTTTGAATTTCTCACAGTCATTCAAAATGGGTATAGAATACCAATCTGGTACCCATGGTTGAAAAGCCAAAACATCTGGGGTTTGGACTTTTACGTGGATATTTTCCTTCCATGTACCGACATTGTAGATTGTTTTCATTTGAAAAATGTTTTTGGGAGTTATATATGGTATGGCCAATAAAAAGCAAATCTCCATACGTTCCGGATCAATTAAGAGAGGTATTGCGCTCCCCATCTCGAAGGCCAGATTTAATTGCATAGGCTCAATTGTCTCTCCATCCACATTGGCAAGCATCGCATGAACAATATCCTTGGATACAAAATACAGAGGTATGCGTCCCCCTGCCAATTTGATCATTCCAGTTTGCACTTCGTCAAGAAAAGCAGTGTGTGGAACAATATTGGGTCATGCAGAAATAGAAGTTCACGCTTAAATAAGTCATGACTTTGGTGCAACTCAGTGGATTTGGCAATTAACTCTGAATGCAAATTTGTTGTAACAACTGTGTCTTCCACAATAGTTAACACGTCTTGGAGAAGTGTTCTTTGCTGTTGTATCACCTGATGAATATCGTTAATGTGTTGCTTTAGCGCATAGATTTCCATATCCAGCTTTTGGACAGTAATAGAGTTGGCTGCAGACATTCCAGTTGCGACAACTGCACCGACAGTGGCACAAACTAATGCAACAATTATAGCGGTGAGGAACCTTTTGGGTCGGTTGCTCATCGGAATAGAACTGGATACAAATGGTTTCCGGGCTTGCTCCAAGATGTTTCGCACACGGTCCTGTGCTCTTTGGAGGTGCATCTGGTACCAAGTCTGTAACTCAGGAAGCTGCATCGATGAAATGTTGTATGCCTTCTCGATGGAAATCTTGGGGTCCAAGCTGACGAACACACGTCTGGTCAGGATCCTCTTCTCTGTTAAGATGAACCCTGGTGTCTCTTGAATCAGGATGCCGGAGGATGGTCCCATCTCTGCGATCGGGTCGGTCCGTAGCTCTTGGCACAGGAGCAGTACGATCCAGAAACACGCCACATCCTTCTTGGACATCTTTCGACAGTCACGGATCAGGAACTCGTTTCAGACTTATCTACTAATGATTCAAGGTTTGTTAAGCATACAAACTTATAACAGTGTGACATCACTTGGCCTAGGACAACACATTATTACGATTCATCAACATATGTATTCTGTCTAATTCTATTTTTATAACTTCATCCCTCACTACATTTATTACTGACTCTTCAGCAATTTGCCTATAGCAGTTAAACAAGCTAGTAACCTGCTTATAAAATGTAGTTATTGGATGGCAAGGAAATGGTTAATGACATGAACGTACATGAGATCATGGCACATCACAACATTTCACATCATACTATACCACGTGAATCAAGCATTCATCCAGGTTAGTCGTTCACCCTTCTGCATCCGAATCCACACCTATAATCCTTAATTGAGATTTAGGATGACAAGCACGCAACTGGTTAATGTGAACCCATTTTTCAATAAAATCACCATCCTTAGGAATTTTTATCTTGTACGCTACTGGGGAAATTTTGTCAATGATGACATATGGTCCTTTCCAAGAAGGTAAAAATTTCTTTTCCTTGACTTGATTTCGCGCAAAGTTATACAGATAGACTTGATCTGTTATCTCATATTCCTTTTTCGTGGTTTTTAAATCGTAATAGGTCTTAATCCCTGTCGCTGCTTTTTCTAGATTCTTTTGGGCAAAAGCAAACGCATGCTGTAAATGCTTGCGCAAATCTTCGATATACTGATGCGTAGTGGCAGCATTGATCAAGTTATGATCTGAAGTACGATATAGTAAATGCTGTGGTAAAACCATCTTTCTTCCTGTCATCAATTCAAAAGGTGACAATTTGGTAGCAGTGCTAGGTGTAGCTCTAATCGCCATTAAAACTAGGGGCAATTTAATGTCCCAGTCTTTACCAGACTCCTTAACATATTTCTTCAGAATATTAACGATAGACTGGTTATATCGCTCTACCCCCCCGCTAGACGCAGCGCGGTATGCAATATGTAGCTTTCGTTTAACACCTAGAATGTTCCACATCTTAGCCATTACTTCGCTGGTAAAATGACTACCTCTGTCTGACTCAATTCTCTGAGGCAGACCGAACCTGGAAAAGACATGGTTAATCAACAAAGTGGCGCACACGGTACTCGTGTTCTCTTTGCAAGGCAAACATTCTATCCACTTTGTGTACATACATGTAACGGTTAACATGTATTTGTTACCTCTTGAAGATCTTGTTACAGGACCTATAAAGTCAATTTGAATATCAGACCAGGGTAATGACACCCCCCTCTTCTGAAGTGGTGCACGATGGGTTGGACCATGGGGTTGATATTGCGGACAAATCAAGCATCCCTGACAGTATGTCTTAACATCCCTTAACATGTGTGGCCAATATGCATAATCACGCAATATCTCATATGTGATCTTATCACCACGATGCCCAGATGTAGGTGCATCATGTGCGTGTTGGAGCATTAACCCTCTGTATACAGTTGGGACTACCCATTGTTGTATACCATGTTTAGAAGTTCTGACCAGCAACCCATCCATGATACTAAATTGGACTTTATATCTCATCAAGATTCGTAAATCTTCATTATCCTTGCAATCCTCATCTGTGATGGGATTGGCAGTAGGGTCTTCTATATGTTTATAGAATATGCCTATGACGGGATCATTCTTTTGACTAGTAATCAGGTCCTCACTAGGAGCTTCTTGACTCCATTGCACGACATTTAAGTCGGCATTATCTCTAGCCTGTCGTCTAGTTATGGCTTCAACATGAATTGAACCCATAAGATCATCAATGTTTAGGGTTTCACCATTGATGGCAGCTTGTTTTGCCAGTGAATCAGCTAAGTCATTACCATCCTTGTCAATACCTTCTATTTTAGAATGGCCTTTGGTTTTCTTCCAATATATGGATAAACCATTTTCCTTAACCAACTCATCGATTTTACAAAACAATTTCCCATGTTTAACAGGTTTGTTATTGCTTTTCAGCATTTGGTTACGTTTCCAGCTAGGCAGATATTCGACGAAACTGTTGCGAACATAGTTGGAATCAGTTATAATAACAAATTCTTTGATACCATATTCTATTGCCATTTGAATGGTCTTATACACTGCACAGAGTTCGGCTATCTGACTGCTTTTGGGACCAATATTGTATCCTATAGATACATTAGGATAATCACCTGTCCAGGCGATTCCGATACCTGCAACTAACTTCCGTTCAGCACCAACGACGTGGTGATATGAACAACCATCAATGTATACCCACGGTAGTGGTCGACAGTATTCCTTATAAACTTTATAAGGAGATAGCAATTGCTCTTCTAGGAAGTCATCTCCGGTGTCATTATCATCCAGAGATGGAGCAGTACAGTCATGTAATTCTGCTAAACCTTGGGCAACTGGGCTTCTCTTATTATGTTTATAACGGACTTCTAACGGCCATCCCTGTAAGGATAGAGTCCATGCAGTAATCCGACTGTTAGAGAGATTACCGTCTCTAATTCTTTCACTCTGCAGATACTGTAGAGGTTGGTGAGCTGTTTCTACAATTATTTTCTCACCTTGGATATAGCTACGAAAATTTTGTAGTGCCCATACAGTCGACAATAACGCCTTCTCACACGTGTTGAATTTAACTTCAACAGGTGACAAAGTCTTGCTAGCATATGCAATAACCTTGTTTAAACTGTCCTGCTTCTGGTACAGAACAGCACTGATGCTTAAATCGGTATATCCTGTCTCCAGATAGAAGGGTTTACCCCCCTCTGGGTATGCTAAACAGGGTGCCTGAGTGAGCTTCCTCCTCAGTTCACTTACCGCTTGGTCCTGAGGCTCCCCCCAGTTCCAGGTAGTTTCCTTTTTAAGCAGGTGTAAGAGTGGTTTAGTTATTTCTGCATAGTTATCTATAAACTTACGGGAGTAGTTAGTCATACCAAGGAACGATCTTAATTCCCTGATGTTTGAAGGTGTTTTAGCCTTTAGTACGGCTTCAACCTTCTTCCTCTGGGGATTTAATCCTTCAGAAGTTACCTCATGTCCAAGGAAATTGACATGGGTGCGACACCATTGTGCCTTTTGTAAAGACAGTTTAATCCCTGCCTCTCTTAACTGAGTGAGAACATGTCTAATCTCTAAGATATGCTTATCAAAGGAAGTGCTTTTCAGCAAGACATCGTCGACATATGATAACGTTCCTCTCTCGAGTGCGTCAGGCATAGCTTTATGCATGAACACAGCGAATTCATGACCAGAGTTTATATAACCGAAAGGCATACGGGTCCAGGTATACTGCTGCTTTCCAAATGTGAAGGCCAATTTGTATTGGTCTTCATTATGGACTGGTACAGTCCAATATCCCTGCGCACAGTCAATGGCAGTGAATATTTTGGATCCCTGCATTTGTACCAAACATTGGTCTATGTATGGCGTTGGCCAACCAGACATATAGACGCGTTTATTTAGCTGTCGTAAGTCAGCGCATAAACGCCATTGTCCATTAGGTTTCAGAATCCCCAAGATCGGATTATTATACGAACTGTGCACTGGACGTATAATGCCCCTTTCCTTTAAATTCTGAATGATGTCTTGTAGACCATCATATGACGCTAATGGGAGTCTATATTGTTTGATAAATACAGGTGGTAAATTTGGATCAGTTTGTATTCTGGCTACGTGGAGGTTAGTTAACCCACAGTCGTAGGAATCTTTGGCAAAAATATCTTGGAATTCCAAAAGGATTTCCTTTAGCTGTTGCCGCTCAGCATCGTTGGAGCAACCGTCAGCTAAAGATATTTGCTCTTCTAGCCTTTCCTGAAATCCTGGAAAGATTTCAGGCTGGCCTATCTCATAAGCTTCTTCAAGCCTAGAAGTTAGGTCAGTTCGGTGTTGACTTACCTTTTCTCTTTGGTCGTGATACTCTTGTGATTCCTGCTCATTGAGCGGATGATCGAAGGTGATAGATGCTTCTTCGATTTTACACGAGCCTTCTTCAACGTTGAAGGGATATACAGATAGGATAGTGAATAATCCTTCTGGGGAGGAATGGAATATTTGATCGACAATTTCGTCCTCAGTTAAGTATTCTTCAGGGATGAGGCCTATAATTTGGTTTTGGAAACCAAATGTATAGTACTCAGCATCCAATGCTAGACCTAATGATGTTCCTTTTGGTAAGGTAACACTATTGGGTGTAACATTGTTGACCATGATATAGGTGGGATTCTTACCAATACTTACCATTGGTGTATGTGTTACCACCATCCCTAATTGTTGTATCCTATTGGATAAACAGATTAGGGCATCAGAGTTTTCCAATCTCTGACCCTCCTTGACCTGTAGGGGTAAAAGAAAATTACTTGTCCCCTGTGGAATGGTTATGTCATCAGGAACTTGGATACTTACCGCATATGGGAGTATTTGTCCTGATTTCAGGGCGTTTTCCTCATGTAGGTATCCACAAGGATTACCTTTTAACCTTGTCCACAAGTTGGAATTAATCAGGTCAAGGTGTATGGCAAAGCGATGTATGACATCATTTCCAACGTAAACCTGATAGCGAGGTTCATTTATCACTAGAAATAAATGTTTAACGGTCTTATTTCCGATGGAAATAGATAGTAAACATTTTGCTATCACATTGTGACACTCTGATTCGCCATCCAGGTTCTGGATCCACCTGTCATGTGGGGAAGCGTACCTGATCATTTTAGGATTAGCTATCTGCTTTAACAGACTTCTGCTAATATAGCTGTTCTCACTCTGTAAGTCCAGCTTTGCATTCCTACTTCTTCCTAAGTCATGTATTTGAATAGGAAAGAATAAGTTGTTATTAACCCTTTCAATTCTGGCAAGGAATTGAGCATGACCTGCCAGATCTACAGATTCAACATAGTCCCTGTGGAGAGAAATAGTTAAAACATCACCTTCCAGAGAGACATTCTGAATCCTCTCTGGAGCAATTCTTATGGAATGCTCATCTACAGGTGCGATT